ATTAAATAACTTTAGATTAAGTTTACTGTGAAAAAGATGAAAAACGGCGACATCGTTGCTTTTCAACTGCGGTTTCCATCCGCTACTTTAAAAAATTAACGTCGTTATACGGCAAAGGGAAATCAGATTAGGAGAAAAAATACGCATTCGTCGAGACGCAAGATTATACTGGTGACAGTCGACGGTGCAGAGAAGTACTTACTCACCAGTAACACAAAGGACACTGTTGGGGTTTGTACATTTATTTATTCAATGTAATCTTGGAGGAAATGAGGCGAATCCAGACGCATCAAATGTTTCTTTTTTAAGAATTGAAAGGCGAGGACGTAGGACCAATTTATTTTGAAATTATGAACTTGTTTCATTAAAATTGAAAGTACAAAGTTATAGCAGATACCATTAGTGAAAACACAGGGATCTCGAGCTCGCGAAGCAAGCGATACAATATTTTAGCAAGAGATACCTTGAGTTAAGAAATGACAAACATATTACGTCCTATAACAAAATACTTTATAATACAAAATAATAATGGAATATTATAAAAGATTTATATCTCGACATTAGAGTCCGATCCTGTTTAAGGTCACTAATGCATCACAAGTAGATTAGTCAATGCCCAATGCACGACTACTCGGCTCTCATTTACCCTCACTGCCATCCTTCATTTTTATAAACGACTCAACTCTGATCTCCCGAATTCGTCAGTCAAAGAGCGAAGCGGAAAAATTATGCTTTGCTAATTGGACACGAATCTTTTATGCTCGGTAAAAAATATTTCGACTTTTATAAACTGCAGGAGAAACGCGTAAAACTTCTAATTAGTTGTAAATGTGGGCACCTTGAAATTAATGCGATAGGTGAAGCACAAAAGATTTTCGGTTACCGGTCGATGATTTACTATTGCGAGGCAGGTATTTAATTAAATGAATAAATTGTAATGAGCTGGCAATAATTTTTCCGATAAAAGCGTTTAGTAATTGCGGTTTTCGGCGCAAAGAAAAGCGGATATGCGTTAGATAATTCCTATATATTCGGTATTAAAAGAGCCGGTAGACAATCCGAGCTCGGCTCGTCCTCCTTCCCGCAAATTCAACGAGAAATGCAAAACAAGTAACAAAGGTGTCCGTGGCCGAGAGTAATAAATAATTTCTATTGTATTCCCTACTAGAATACAATGTTAATTGATAACGATGCGGTCCAAAAGGGAAACCCTTTATATTATATTAGATTACTCGAGGCATAGTCAAGTCATGCTCTTTTGGTCGAATTTTATTTCGAAACTTTCCCGTAATTTGATATTCAAAAATACAATAAATGCTTAAAATAATAATTAAATATGGCCAGGTATTAAATGAATTTAGAAAAATAAGTTTCTATAAAAATTCAATCAATATATTTTTTTATTAAAATTTAAACATCTACTATTTTATTTGTGGTAAATGCATTTTCCCTGAAAATTAAATTTATGGTAAAAAACATAATCATAAAAACTATTATACGATTTCAGCATCGGCGATTACTTACGGATCGAGCAATATCAATTCCAGTATACCTACAAACGATAAAAAGCGCCAGATAGAAATTTTAAATAAATCGCAATTTCCCCCGTTTATTTAATCAAAACGAGGTTATCAATATATTATTGGTTTTTGCGAACAATAAATCTGGTAACAACGACACTAACTTCCCGTATGAATTTGCATACTTTAATTTCGAAAATGCGGTTCGTAAAGTTGCATTTCGATGGATGACACGTGCTAAATCAAAAGTTTGATTATACCAACATCGAAAAGCAATCCGGGATGGAAAAACAATCCGTAACTGAAACAGATGACCCTCCGGTGAGGCGGACATTGAATTTAAAGAGAGAGACATAAGTGTCTGAAGTTAGAGGGGTGTTTTATAGATAGATAGGTAGGTAAGAAGAGTAAGTTTGGAAGTTTTCGGGCACCGATTCGACCCAGTTGTTTGATTTATATCACTTAGTTGTCTTCAGCGGCGGGTACTAAAGAAAATCGCATTTTTCCAATAAATATTAAGAGAAAAACGTTCACTAGTAGCATTAACTAACCCCTTCACTGTTGAAGAAACTGGCAAAAATTGCTCCTTCAATTTCCTCGAAACCGAAGTTTGAAATTACCATAAAACAACCATTAGAATGAATTTACTATTAATTTCGTTGCACTCCAAGTAAAAAGTTAAAATAGCCATCCATTGGATCGGATTTAAATATAGGTGAGTATTTTCTTGTTACACACAAGATCATTCCTTCGAGCATAGCCAGTTAAAAACATGTCATGAAAAGGAATTAAATTCAATAATTACACGACACTGGGAGTCTACCTTCCTGTCACCAAGCCGGAAAAACTGCCAGACGAATCGCACTGTGTCTGCGTTTTAACAGAAACTTCCATGCAAAAACAAGCGACAAACAACGCCAAGTTGGTATTGACAGTACATAAACCTTTTGGTATAACTACTTTGAACTGAAACTTATATATCTGGCTTATTGCACCGGATTTTATCGACAGAAACAAATTAATTTCGATTCAGGTTTTGAGGTATTCTACTAGTGAGTTCGCTTTATTTTCGTCTGTAATTTATCGATTCGAAATTTAGTGGACCTTGACGGAATACAATAAATTGCGTATTTACTCGGATGTTCGACAGGAAGCAGTAGAATGGATTTCATTTAAACAATAAAAATTAAAAGTTGCTTCATAGAACTAAAATTAAAATCGTATATGGATAAGACGAAGAAATCGATAATACCCTTATAAGCAAATTTATTTTTACCCCTAATCGATATATTTTGAAATTGAATAAAATATCTCTCGCATTAAATCTTACTGATAAGATTTTAAGAGTGGGGTACAGGGTGTTTTAAAAGCGAGTCCGGACCTGCTGGGCAGTCCTTCCTGACAGTTTCCAAATTAAAATCCTCTTCCTTCCAATATTTTCTATAACTGGACATCGAACGGATATTTCAGGACGTTAATTTGCGGTCAGACTGTCATATTCCATTTTTTGGATTTAGTTCTCTCCCAACGTATTGTCTGGCGAGATAATACGCAGTTTTCCGTTTGGCAATTTTCGACGATTGAAATGGAACCGCTAATCCTCTTAAAAGGCTGGTTTTTTATCGCAAATTTCATCTCACGGAAATATTGCCGATAATTAATTCTGGTGACGCTCTGGTATTTACAAAATTGGACCAAGGTAATCTAAATCATTATACATCTCCAAAAAAACATATCTAATTGAGTGTATTTCATTATCGTACATTTAAAGTTCCATTTACTGGAGATACGATAAAATTAGCTCGTCTAATGTGTAGTTGTAATAATTGAGATAAAATTACGAAATTATTAGCGCATCGCCACATTACCCGCTACTATCTTAATTTGAAATCCACTTCACATGAGAACACGAACCTTTTTCTAGTTAGCAAAGTTGGAAAATTTAAATATTAATGGCGAGATAGACGAAAATGAAATTACCACTAATGAATCTGCTGAGTTAACCGATATACAGCAGCTGCTTAACTTGTAAATGCCACACTTAATTTCAAGATGCTTATCTTTTGATGACTGGATTTTCTCCGGGATGGAATCTTAGGGATAGGGGGTTCATTAAATTTTTCAGCCAGTTCCCGAATCAGCATAAAAGAGTCTTTTTGTGCGAAATTTACACTTCGAAATCATGAATATTTAGTAATTGAATTGGATGTAGCCTTAATTTGAAATCTTCGATTCGCGGAATCTAATGAAAAAGAATGGATTTAATTATTTCCCGTTTGTTCCCGAACTGAACCTTATAAATATTTTATATTTACTTAGCTTTTAAGGAACTAATTCCTCATTTTTTTTCTTGTATGCCGATTGATCAGCTTCTATAATTCGTCCAAACATATTCAGGAGAAGCAAAATTGGTCACAATAACCATTCCATTTTCGATCTCGTCTACTTTCTAAGCCATTGAATGCAATCTGGACAGTTTTCCATTGAAATTCGCGCCACTTTCATGCATTCGAAGTGACTATTTAAAAAGTTTAGCTTTTTCTGCGTATGCAAGTCGATCGCCAGATGTTCGCATTGATTTCCACGGCTGTTGGATATTCAAACAGCACAGTAGTTTTTTGAACTACAACTAACCTTTTATCGGTAATGGGGGACACATACAAACAATTCAATTCCTTAATGTAATAGTCGAATTGCCATTTTGGCAATTGTAGCTTCGAAATCACTAAAAAAGCATTGATACACGTCATGAACTTTTAGAGATTTTAAACCGAATTAAACGAAACGCAGTTAATTCCATTAAAATGATAAAAACATTACTCCAAAGAGATAACGAGCCGAAATCTCGAAAAATACGCGTTCGAGATTGAGGTAAGAGAAAAGTAAATAACCCTTCGTCGGTAAAATTTATTTGTGCTGAAACAATTCTTAACTTCAATATTAATCCCAATGTAAATTATTTAGTTTTTGCTCAAGTTAATAATGGAGATACTTGGACTTGAAGTTGAATGATGAGGCGAAGAAGAGAAAAGAAAGTTACGAAATGCCCATGAAGCAATTAAACTTTGAAAGAAACTCAATTAAGCTATGTAGTAGTGAGATAATTAACTCGAACTTGCGTAAATACATTCTCGAATTATTTTAATTCTAAGCAAAGACTGTAATTGTGTCTTGTATAATGAGGCAGTCCTATGGACTTTTAACTCTAAAAACTTTGTCTTTGTTTCTAATTAGTTTATTGAAAAGGCTTTTATTAAAGGTTCTTTTGTTACATGTTGTAATTTATTTAATTAGGGGAATGTTGAATGTTTTACAAATAAAAACCAAATTTTAAAGTAGTTCAGAAATTATGCATGCGATTATGCATTACTACATACGTTTACTACAACTGTTCCTATTGGATATATTTTTTTAAGTTAACAATTATCAATTGAATATAAATTTCGTATAGATAAATATTTACGATTATCTTAAATCGCGCAGATATATAAATTATCGCCATGTGTACCTACAATTAGTTGCAATACTGTCGATCAAGATGCGAGGTATAATTAGTTTAAGTGCAGCTTATTTTATTTTAGCGTGTTTTCTTATATCATCAGGTGAGTTTTAATTGCTTATAATGAATGAATAAGAAATCGCCACAAGTAAATTATTTTAATTTTAGCGAATTCATACAATATAGTATGTTATTTTGCAAGTTGGTCGATATACAGAAACCTAAGCGGAAAATTCGATGTTTCAAACATAGACCCGAACCTATGTACGCATATTAATTTCGCATTTGTGGAATTATATGAAAACGGATCTCTCTACATAGTTGATCCCTGGGAATCCAATTCCAAGAGTGATGGCGGAAATTATAGTAAGCGTTACAAATAATTCATCGGCGCCTAATTAATAAGATTTCGTTAATTCTGCAGATGGCTTCCAAGACTTGGTAAATTTGAGACAACAGAACCCTAATTTGAATGTGTTGGTCAGTTTAGGCGGGTGGAATGAAGGCTCGAAAAATTTCTCTGTGGTCTGTGCCGATGAAGCAAAAAGACAAATATTAGTTGGAGAAGTCATGAGATTAATCGCTAAATATAATTTCGACGGTCTCGACATCGATTGGGAGTATCCTACTCTTAGAACGGATTCCCACCCTCAAGATAAAGTAGGTGAATTTTTCCTTTATTAATTTCCTAAAATTTTCCTAGTCGCTAAAGTAATTGCTTTTATTTCAGGAAAATTTCGTAAAGTTGTTAGCCGCTTTTAGGACGGCTTTTCAACCGAGAAGACTACTTTTGACGGCTGCCGTAGCCGGAGCAGTCGAAAAAATTGACGCAGCTTATTTCGTCGGAAATTTAACAAAGTACGTATTTTCAAATAGTTTTTACACTTCCAATGTCCGTTTAATTCACCCTCAATGACATGACTATGAAGCTAATATGCATGAGTCTAGAATGCTATTAAAACTGTCTTTTGTCTTTTAACTAGAATATTCCTTGAGTAAACTGGATATTTAGAAGAATATTTTCAACGTAAAGTTGCTATAGAATGAAATTTCATAAAATAACTTTTATTAAAAGGTGTTTCTTTGTGATATACTTTTTTACATTCTTACGGAGTTATTTTTGCTCAAGCTTCATCTCAAGCTTCATCTCACTTAACAATGTGTTAGATATATTAAAAATATATTACAATACATATGAGCATATAAGTTTTAATTTTACTACTATTTTTTCACTTTTATAACCAACAAGTATCTATTGAATTTTATATCTATGTATAGATAAGTTAATCTAGTTAAATCTAACTTAAGGTTTTTTAAAAATTTTGCTGCAGTTATTTGGATATGTTGAATGTAATGTCGTATGACTACCACGGAGCTTTCGATGGTTTTGTAGGCCACATTTCCCCATTATACGCTTCTTCTTTGGATTACAAACACGAAAAAAATTATACATATGTAGCGGTAAGTATTTACCAGTGGTATTTGGTAGATTTTGGATGCTAAAATATATTTTTTTAGTCCGCCGCCATAGAACATTGGTTGCGCAATGGAGCTGACCCTTCTAAAATAAACTTGGGCGTACCAACGTATGGTAGAACGTTCACATTAGCAGATAAAAACAACACCCAGCTGTATGCGCCTATTCTTGGGCCAGGTCCTAAGGGACTTTTCACCGGACTCGAAGGCACTTTAGGCTACCACGAGGTATAAAATATATTTATGTTCTCCCTCAATTTGATGGTCACTAACTGAGAAAGGGTTTATTGTAGATTTGTAATGAATATTCTGGTGCCGATTCCCAATATGTCTTCGACGATCACCAAAAGGTGCCACATAGGGTGGTAGATGACCTGTGGATCGGTTACGACGATAACGTATCATTGACGTATAAAGTGGATTACGCCGTGGCTCAGAAACTTGGAGGAATCATGGTTTATTCCATCGACACTGACGATTTCTTGGGATTATGCGGACATAAGTACATACTCTTGACAACGATTAAAAATAGACTTGATTATCATCGGAGCAAATAATGTTTTCAAGCGAAAAAATAATCATTAAATAAACGTTTTCCTATCAAGCACTTTGATTACTCAACAATGTGATCAGAGTATAAATTTAAGTATCTCAGCGTGTTCGTTCACTTAATATGATTTGTTGTTTACATATTGTCATTAAATTATTATTTATCATTATAAGTTTACAATATTTCTTGTTTGTTTCCATTCTTAACCAGATTGAAAAACAATATTAAAAAATAAAAAATAAAAATGCGTACCTAAATAACAATTTATAAAACAAAGTCTTCAAAGGGGAAATGTATTATTTTCCACTTATTAGTTTAATTAATATACATAAGAATTATTTGGAAAAATGATTCAATATTACCTATTATAATTTAGATACTGTGAATATTCCATCATATCAAAAAAATTGCTGCTACAAAAAAATATTTATTAATTTGTTGTCGAGATAATTCTCTACGAATTTACAGTTTATTAGTGGTAACTAATTAAACTACGTACGTACACGATTATTAGATCAACGCATAAGCAGGAAAAAAGCAAATTAGTTCGACTAACCGGGAAAGCCTCTCTATATTCCCTACCCAATCCGTTTCCTTTTAGTTCGCTCGACAATTTCCATTTTGAAGACAGTTTTCCGGTCCAAGTACTCAGTGCCCAATTAAATTATTTCGCGACAAGTTGGAATTACAACAACTCTCAGCGCAGAAAATCAAATTATTTTGTAATTACAACTTTGGAAAGATTCGAGTTTTGCAAAATTTATGCCCATCATATCACAACGGATTTCTAACCTCATTTTCATTTTAATCTACACGGAGAAACGGCCCCGAAATTATTAACCGCGCTTCATTGAAAATGGTTTCGTTGGAGTTTCGACATTTTCCTAACTTATCAATTGGGAACTTCGAAGTATTAATTGCTGTTTTCTCCGTGTATTTTTGAAGTCGTTTTTTTTTCTCAGTGTATGTACAAATAGTTATCGACTCAATCGAAATTCCGTTTCTGATCTCGCACTAGGTGGCTGTGGATTTGAATCGAAAACAAATGAATCAATTCATGTGAAATATAGAATGTTTTCGCACTTTCGGTCCCAAACGAATGCGCTCCCCCAGTTTTTTTTGTTATTTTAAATAGAATCATTTCTCTTTCGGATCCATCGTTTGGTTTTTGGCTTTTTCCATTTTGATAAATTGGTGTTATGTTTTAGAGAACTAAAGTGATTTTTTGCAACCCATACGTATATGCAGAGTTAATATTAAATTTTCCGTTGAGAAAAAACGTTAGATGAATGAGGTACTTATTATTTCCTAAATTGAATAAAAAAATGTTTTAAGTTTGTGAGTATGATAAACGAGAAATATGTATAAGCAGAATGTTATTTTACAAATGGGAAAATTTTTACTTAGATCATCGCTTATTTTTTATATACAGATATTAAAAACAGTTTATAAAACGTGGATTGATAAATTATGACTGTTTTTTATGTGAAATTGATGCCGTATTTTATTTTGGACAAAATGCGAAATTCGCATGGAGCCCCTACAGATCGTTCGCGTATTCCCAGCGAGCCACTTTAACAAAACATTCATAAAATATCCAAAATAGTCCCAATGGTTACATAAAGCCCGGGATATGGAAGTACGGTCTTCCTTATCGTGCAAAAATGCAGGCGCGAAATCGCTAATACTGCCCTATAAATAATACCGACTTCTAACGTAATTATTTTCTATTGCAAATAAACGACCTCTCTAAAAATATTACGCTGGCGTTTCCCGTAATTTATGGTTATTACCAGCGTCTTCGAAATGATCTACTGTACGCTTACAATTTACTAAAAAAGATCGACAGCAGAATCACGTTCGAAAATCGAAAATCAATAGATATACTATCTATATACCCTATTAAAAAAAATCTAACAAACAAACTTTAACGACATCTTTTAACTATTTCATTAAATTGATACAACTAATTTTCAATACTCCGAAAAAAAATACCTATATTTTTTTCTTGCGAATCCGTTTCTATCTAAATCGCTAACAGCGCGCTGGAAAAGGGAAAACCAATTCAGAAGCCACCAATCAATTAGGTTAGAGTCGAAATGCTCCCTTTCCTTCTCGGAGAATTTCATTAAGAAAAGGGTACTGTAACAGCGCTGCAGCTAATCACAGATAAGGCGCGTCGCGGTGCTTTCGGGCGTCCTTATGGTCACAGCGAAGATTAAAAAGGTCTCTATTCGAAAGGGACATAAGGGAGAATTACAGCCGCGCCGAACGGCCGTGGAATTTATTCGATAATAATTGATTGAGATTGAGATTAATATTAAATTGAAATCTCAATTTCCATTTAAAAATATTTTATCGTTAATTGTGTATACGGGTCAGTGCAAATTTGTTGCACTGAACAAAGATTATTAAAATAGTAGGTGCAAAAGTTGCAATTCCACAATATCGATCTTTCTGTTTCCTTTATATGAAAGTTATGGAAGTTATCTTTGTTGCACCTATAGACCATATTGCGTAGAAATTTGCACTTGCATGTAGGTATTATTCAATTATATTTGTTTATCTATAACAACCAAAATTAGAGATATTTTAGTCATGAATTGATCTACTTTTTATTAGTTTAATTTTGATTTATTTGTGTTGATACCTACATATATCGATATTTTAATAGGATTATAAAATTAAGATAGATAAAAAATATAAGTTATTGAACGAATCAATCAACAGTATCAAAATAATGTTTTTAGCATCATGAAAAGTACCTGTTCCAATGATAAAGCGCAATCGTCGAATTGAAAACAAATTAATAATCGAATATACCAGGAGTTATCAACGGGTGGAAAGAAATAGCACGAAAATACGTACCTAAATCTAGTCGGGTTGAAATATTATTGCCGTTTAAGTAGAATTCGGAATGATTTATGGAGAGCATCTTTGCTACGTACGTTATAAAACGTAGATTTACTTTTGAGGGAATATAAGTAGGTTAAACTCAAAGAGATCCGGGTTGAACGATCCAGAATCAAATTTGTATGATATTCTAATATGTAAACTTACCTCGATACGAGGTTGATTGCAAAACTTGTATTCCTCGCCTTCTTCTTCTTGTATAGAAGTAACTGAAAAAAATAGAGGTAAAAATAATGAAATTGCTTTAAAGTACATAAATAAAGTAATAACATTAGTTTCAAGGAGTTGAAACTTTTATAATGATTCCTGAGAAATCGAATATGCTTCCGATTCATTCGATTCTCCCCGTGCTTTTTCTGTATACCTAAAATACGTCCAAATTACGGTATGCGGTGTTGGTCACTTGGTCGCCGCGGTCAATTTTGTCTGCGGGGTTCCATAATCCTACCGGTCGATTGGTCCCCAGTTTCAAAATTTAATGGGCTAATTGGTCCCCGCGGTCAAATCTTATTAAAAATAATTCTAATCGGATTAGACAAGATTGTAGATTTTATAATCGTCTATAATTTTGGCTGAGATCTTCTAGTTACCTATACCTACACAGATAGCTCAGAGAATATGAACAGAATGCAGTTTTAAAATATATTTAACAAGTATTAGTATTAAAAAATGTATACACTGTGTCTAAAGTCAACACATTGAAGGCGGGAAGTCAGAAGGGTCGTTAGAATATTATGTATTAATCATATAAAGAGTATATGAAAGTAATCGTTCATCGGTTGGCATTATAGGAATTAAATCTTGGCTAAAACAATCTGCAACTTCATTACTCTCTAAAAATAATAAGCCGAATGTGCAATGAATGTGTAATTTGAATTTTTCGAAACCATGACTGTTTTAAATGAAATCAGCATCCGATAACTAAAATGTCGGGCCAAATTTGCCTTATGCCAGTGTAGGGCTTTTTCAAAACCACAAACTACTTTTGATGGATTCCTAATTAAATTTAAATTGTTACAGCAATACTCCTTTAATATTTTAAATGCAGTTTTGTAGGAGAAAATATGCTAATGGCCATTGTCAATAGCGTGTATAGTAAAAAATTGCACAAAAAAATAAGGGACAATAATCAAATGTGCCGTCGCAATAAATTGTGTCACGAGAGCACAAATATGTCAAATTTGATTCGCAAGAAAATAAAATAATATGCGAATCGTTAACATAAACATCCTTATTAATTTGTACGACGAAATTCAAATACTAACTTTACCAGAGAATTTTAAAAATGTAGATATCCCTATCAGTCCTTCCTAGAAACCGTTAATCCAGTATTGGCGACCAAGTGACCTGTACCTTTCGAATCGAGAAAGGATTAAATTTGGGTAAAATTAACCGCGGCGACCAAGTGTCCTCCACCCCCAAATTAAATAGTTGAGGATAAAAGTAATAAGCAATCATTCCAAATATGCACGTTAAAGAGAACATTTCAAATAACCCATAATTTATTTGCCACGTCTCGTTTAACGTCAAAATCAAGGAAGCAGTTAAAATTTTCATTCCGTCTAATATACGGACCCAAATCTAGTTATCATGTGTCAGCCGCTGCATGGACCTGTCAGGAAAAAATAAATATACCAACTTTTATTTTCTTCGAGCGGAAAATACAGTAAGGACATTCGGGCACTTCATTCGCAAAATATCCAATTTCAATTCTGTTTGACGCTTTAGAAAACGTGAATGAATGCAGAGATATAGGTATATTATAGAATAGATACAGACATGTGTGTCTGACATTTCGCGAAGTCCCTGTTCATCTTTCGGGTTCATCCAGTCGATTCCGGGAAGATTCGGTCAGCTGGCTGTGGAAAATGTACCTAATCATATTTTATATACAAATATTGGCGTTTCCCGAAAGGCTGAAATTCCAATTTAATTTTCATATACTACCTGTATATGAAAAAAAAAATTGTTGGTGCTAAATTGTTTGCAATATAAGCTAGGTGTGCAACAAAGACAACTTCTGTTAGTCTCATATTAAAAAAAGAAAGAGTGATATTGATGTATGATTGCAACTTTATCACTCTAACTGGTTATTATAATAAGCTTTCCTTGTTCGACTCGTAGAATTGACCATATTGCAAACACATTTTTGCATTTCCCCTAATTGAATTAGTTGATATAAAAATTTCACGTGATAAGCGACATTTAATAAAAAAGCTTTCCAATCAATTAGAACAATCGACCGAAATTCACTGATCGGTTTAGTGGAAGCTGGAAAAGGAGCTTTTTATACATTGTCGTCTGTGCGACGATACAAAGTATCATAATTGAAAATCTAAGTCCGGAATTAAGATAAGAACTGGAAGAAGAATATTCGGGAAATACGTCCTACGTTGTACAAAAATCACTTTTATCGGAAATCTCCACACTCCCGACGATAAGCCAGTCGGTATAGTGTAGGTAGATTGAAAGGGATTAAAACTCAATGAGACCTCAGTCGAAACTCGCCCATGTTAACAGTATTTTCGTTTTATCACCGAGATTAATAATTCTTCGAATACCTACTGTGATAAGTTATTTTAAAATACTTACTCGTACATTCCTTGTTAGATATTCCTTGAAATTTTCAGAAGGTGGCGTAAAAAAGCCGATAAAAAAATCGACATTCACTTTTTAGAAACTTGGTACCTTATAGTAAAATAACAACTAATTTGATGAATGTTTCTATACCAAAAAGGTGCATTTCTTGGCAGTGACGTCACTACTTATTAAGCGATCTTATTGGCAAGTAAAACGTGCGAATGAAAATTAAGCACTGTGATTGGCTAGAATCAAAAACGTCACTATAAACAATAAAAACCTTTGCTTTCAAAAAATGTACTCTGTTTTCAAGTTAGTTAATATACATAGACAAAATATAAGACATCTTTCTTTCTCTATGTTAATATATTTTCCCTGAAGTTTTCAATTTCAGTCATTGAACATTTATTTACTACTGACTTTTGGCAGCTAATGAAGTTTCTTATGAGGGAACTAGATTCACTTTTCAAATAGAAAAATACTGTATTGGTGTAATGGTTTTGAATTGTTTCTCAAAGTATCATAATGATCTGCTTATTTATATATTCTGTAATACAATAATAATAAAATAAAATAGCTCCTGTGGAATCTCCTCAAAGTATGTAACTGCATACACCAATGGTAAGAGTAGTGAATAACCTTTAAAAAGAAGACGAATAAATATTGTCAATTGTCAATACAAAAATTGTGAAGGTTAATTTTTTTAAATATCTAAATTTACTACACTCTATAATCTACAATTACATTTACATTCCTAAAGTTCCTTCATCCTCCCTCCTAATAATACCTATCATTTTTTTAGGTCAAGGACGATTATTGTGTTTTCCGATAATTTGATCGAACTATTGAAATAGAATAGTACATTTTTTATCTATTATTGTGCGTTAATTGAGTTGATGAAATGGCTCAATGTAAGGTGTGGTTGGATAATTATAATACAGGGCAATATTTTCCTGGGAGCCAGATTCAGGGAAAAGTTGTATTAAACTTCACGAGCGAAACCAAGTGCAGAAGTATAATATTTCCATTAAAGAGATTATTTTGTTGCTGATAATTGCTTTTAGGTGTAAAATTGAGGCTGTTTGGCCTCGAACACACAGAATGGACCACTACAGAAGAATACACTGAACCAGGTTCTAATGAGCGCAGAACAAGGGATATTACAATTGAAGGAAACAATGAAATATTCTCTACTGAATTGATACTCTATGGAGCCCGTAAGTTTCGAGTTATCTTTGGTTCTTTGATTTTTCTGTAGTCTAGTATTTTCCTGTGGTTCTCCACATTCAAAGTCTCTTAACAATAAATTAAAGTAATTTTATAGCAAGTAAAAATTATTTTTCCATATAAAAAATTCTCATGAAGTATCGAAAATAAAATTACTGTTTAAGAAACTGGTACCACAACTTTATCTGCCGGTCAGCACATTTACCCGTTTAATCTCAACCTGCCTATCGAGATCCCTGCTTCGTACAACAACGAATACGGCTCGGTTTTATTCAAATTAATCAGCATTGTTGATCGTCCTATGGCCTTCGATTACAAAGACGAGGTGATCTTTCTAGTGGCATCTTTGATCGATTTGAACCATCTGAGAAAACCTGAACTTTTGGTACGATTTATTAGATTTAACAGAGATGAGAGTTATTGATTTTTTTGTTAATATTCCAGGAATCGACATCTTACTCTGATGATAAAACTGTTTGTTGCCTATGTTGCGCTCAAGGTCCAATCACTATGGATGTAACTTTGCCAAAGAGAACCCTCGTGCCTGAAGAAACTGTAAATGTTTCTGTTCGAATGAGTAACTTATCTAACACTAACATTGAAGGAGTGGAGTTGAAATTAAAACAGGTGCTCTACATCATTCTTTTTCTTCATCTTTTTTTTATCAATTTTATTTTAGGTCATCAATTGCAGTGTTACAACTCCTCAACGTGATAGCAAAACGATCAATAACACGATTATTCATTTAAAAGAAGTGGGCTTGGGTGCTCACGGTGAAAATACCTATGTGTTTCCGGTTAAATTGCCTTCAAACAGTCCAATTCCCAATTTTACTTTATGCCAACTCTTCAAGGTTCATTATAAATATACGGTAATTTCCAACAATATTTGAAATGTTCGAATTAAACTAATTTATTATGGCAGGTTACAGCCGTACTCCCTGGCGTTCATTCCAATTTAGAGGTCGAAATGTATCCGGAAATTGGCAATATTGAGATAGGACATCAGGCTCCTTTCGGAGGATACCAACCACCTCCTGTTACCACTTACCCTGTCGCTCAACCCTCTTACCCTCCAGCTGGACCTGGTTACCAACAATACCCTCAATATCCTCAAGGAGGAAACCCTTCTCAGAATTATCAGGATCCAGCTCTTCCACCGTATGGAGCACCTCCTCCGGGCGTTTATCCTTCAGCTGGAGCGTTTCCACCACCTGCTACGATGCCATCATTCACTGGTGAATATTTTTTGATAATATGTATCTTTAATAGTAAATATATTTCGGGTTTTATAGGATATACTCCCAAAGCTCAGGAAGCTGCTGGATATCCTTCGGCACCGCCCGCAATGCCTCCTGCACAATGTAAGTGAAAAATTTAATTAAAAGTGAACAGAAATTATTTAAATGTTTTTTTAGTGCCACCTTCTTATGATAGTATTGAAAAGTAACGCTGTGGAGCTACTGGGATAGCTACAGATATTCAGACTGTTTCTTGTTGAAGGGTTTTATACATTTATTGGGCCCTTTTGTATTGGGTTTCGATGTGTTAGGAAGTTAAACAGGTTTATGGTATCTTTGTTTCGTATAATTTTAGTGCTGAATGAGCCACTGCAATCTTCAACTTCGTTTAAAATACTCTAGAACATAAACGAACAGAAATAGAATAAAACTGATAAAACTGATATGAAATATTTTGTTGCATTCGTTCATTTTTAGTCATATTTTAATTTGTTTGTCTAAGATATTATGAATTATTATAGGTTTTTTGATGATTTTTTGTTTTTTTTTTGTTAATTTAAGATCCTATGTTAAGTTTTTCAAATTGTAATGTTATGTTCAATAATTTCTTTTATTAGTAAGTAATTTTACATTGTAACGTCTACCTCGAATATTCAAAGAATAATATATGTATAACGTAAAACCGTTTATTGATATGTTTACTTTTCTTACACGGGTAGGTAACGAGCATGTTAATTAAGTACACATTCAAAACAATAAAATATTTTATTACATTTGTGAACATGTTTATTAAAGCTTTTGTACATGTATTTGCTATTCTAAATACACTATTTTTATACAACTTTTTTGGTCCTTTTTAATTTTAACTAAATCTTTAACAAGTAACAAGTAATATTTTTTGAACTAATTCAAGATTAATAGATGGACTCGCTAAACGCTCGGAAAGGGGGCTGTGCCCCCTTTCAACCCCCCTTCCTTATGGTGGCGGCTTCGCCGCAAGACAGTTTGCTAGATGGATCCTCGTTCGCTTCGCGAGCTCGGTGCAATTGAATTTTCGTTTGGAAATTAATCACACCCCGTATATCAATTTTTTTAACAACCAGATCTCGCTCGCTGCGCGAGCTCGACTATATCGCTCTAGTTAACGATGGGCTCTGCCGCATAGACCCGCAGCTCGGAGGCCTAACGGCCTCCTACGCAAAGGCTGTTAATCAACTAAGGTCTCGCTCGCTGCGCGAGCTCGACTAAATCGCTCTAGTTAACGATGGGCTCTGCCGCATAGACCCGCAGCTCGGAGGCCTGACGGCCTCCTACGCAAAGGCTGTTAAACAACTAAGGTCTCGCTCGCTGCGCGAGCTCGACTAAATTGCTCTAATTAACGATGGGCTCTGCCGCATAGACCCGCAGCTCGGAGGCCTAACGGCCTCCTACGCAAAGGCTGTTAAATAACTAAGGTCTCGCTCGCTGCGCGAGCTCGTCTAAATCGCTCTAGTTAACGATGGGCTCTGCCGCATAGACCCGCAGCTCGGAGGCCTAACGGCCTCCTACGCAAAGGCTGTTAAATAACTAAGGTCTCGCTCGCTGCGCGAGCTCGTCTAAATCGCTCTAGTTAACGATGGGCTCTGCCGCATAGACCCGCAGCTCGAACGCCTATCGGCGTTCTACGCAAAGGCAGTTATATAACCGGATCCTCGCTCGCTTCGCTCGCTCGGTTTATGTATAATTAACATTTCCTTAAATACGAGTCACCCTGTACTATATTTCAATTCAATTGAAAATAATTTTTCATTTAAGGTAAAAAAACGCCCCGTATATAAATTTTTCCGATTTCCTTAACGAAAAAACACCCTGTACATCAAATTAAATGTCAATGTATCCCGTAGTAACGGAAATGACAACTTTGACAGTTTGAAATTTGTTCATCGCCGCTGTCATTAGTGTAGTTTTTTTAAAAGTAATTCGGTCGTTTCTCCGTTTTTGGTAAGTACAAATGACCAAGAAACGTACATTTTTGCGTATTATTGCATTTTCTTTTATTTTCGTCCATTAAAAACGACCAAATTGTCTAAATAACGAAAAAAATCTCTCATTTCGGTGTAGTTCCGTTTAAACCAAACGAACGGGCAACGTCCATCAAGTAATTTATTTGGAAATGTGTCAAAAATTTTACTTTTAAAATCGAATTACGGAAAATTTCGTTTTTTCCCAGAGAAAAGAGGTAGATTTTCGTAATCGGCGAATTATTTTACGTCCCCCCATGTACCTCCGTATGCCCCAGAAACTCCGTTTTAGTTTCGGTCTTCCTCCTTCATTTGTTTTTTTGGAGTTAGAGCTATATATATATGTGATCTTTGTGATCAGCTTCATATCATTTCTCATTCAAAATCTACGCATTTTGTCCACTTCATGTACGCCAGTATAAGAAAATTGAATTAAACTAATGCAATTGTCTAGTGGCATATAAAGAAATAACTTTAGCATTGGTTATGAAGATGTTTTTACCGTTTTCCTGACGTATTGTCGTTACTGGTGATTTGTGTACCTCTTTGAAATACTCCTTAATGTACTCTTCACGTAATTCTTCCGGTATCGTCGGTATAACTACATTAACACACATATGTAAATCTAAAAATTAATATTTGAAATGATATTTGATGAAAGTACGGTGTTAAAATCATTAAAACGAGGACTTGGAAACAGAATGCTTTATACAATAATATTAAATTTTAGATTTTATACAGGGTGTTAATTAATTGAGTGCCGATACTTCAGAATGGGAATATTTGATAAGTTTATATCAATATATGTTTTAAACCTCTTAGTTTTCGAACTACAGAATGTTACAGTTTAAAAAAAAATACTTTTATCATAATTTTCTTATTGCTCCAGATATTTTTATGAAATTATTCGTATGAAATTATATGTACATATTTTTTAATTATTAAGGAGCATTTTTTTGATGCAAAAGTCCTTATGGGGTTTGAACTGAATATGTTTGAAGATAAAATGGTACGCCACTGCTTTTTCTAAAAACCAAAATTATTTTTAAAATCCTTTTATTTTTTGGAGCAAATTCGGTCCGAAGACTTGACTTTCGTACGACGCACCAATTTCGTGTTAAAAAAAAACCATAATAATTTTTCCCCAAGTTCATTGAGACTGCTTTTGATATTTTCTTGAAATTTGTTAGGCGCCCACCATGCATGGAAACGCTTTTTTTAACAAAAATGAATTTTCTACCAGTGACGCCCACGTCCGAAATTTCATAAAAATATCTGGAGTAATAAGAAAATTATGATAGACAAATATTTTTCTTGTAAAACTGTAACACCCTGTAGCTCGAAAACTAAGAGGTTTAGGACATACATTGATGAACACTTTTCTTCTTAAAATCATCCAAATATTCACATCCTTAAATATTGGCACTCAATTAATTAACACCCTGTATAACGTACCTATGAATTCTTCCTCCTCGCAGATATATGAATCATTTTGCGCTTCCATAAAATAATCAACAAAACCAGCAGAATCTATGTCCTTCTTGTACAATTCCTGTGGACTTTTGGAGTAGAAATAAGGAGCTATCATAACATCATGATCGTATTTGCTCCATTTTGGATGTAGTTTCAGTTGGGCCATTACATACTCAACTGGTTTTCTTTCCATAAACATTATAAACGTCGATCCTCCAGGTTTCAACATTGTGTGAATATTCTTAAATGCCTCTCTGTAAAAATGATTATTTCTGTTAGCTCTATGGCAAATTAAATCATGATGAGATGCAAGTATAACCATGAGTCTTGAATCAATCAGTTGATAAGCAAAGAACTCACCTTGGCTTATTTAACATATGAATGAGCATGAAAGCAAATATATGGTCAAATCGTTCCCGATATTCATTTGGAACATCCGAGCAAGCATCTAATTTAACGACTTTCGATTTAGGTATTTTGAAATCGTTTTTAGCGTAGTCGACCATTTCTTCAGACACATCAGAACCAATAAATTCTTTGTAATCTTTAGGTAATAGAGGAACCAAATATTGCATTGAATTATGTCCAGTTCCAAATCCAAGCTCCAGAATGGATGCATCTTTTTTCCATTTTATTAAATGTTGATATCGTTTGAGGCTGTTTTTGGCAAAAAGCAATGCTATACCGCCACTTTTTACCCACAAATCTGGAGACCTGAATGCCATTCTTTCAAAATTTTACTGTCAGTGAAAAGAAGAGAACCATCCCATATTCTTATATAAATTTACAGCTTATCAAGAGATAAAAAATAATTACCCAAGTATATAAATATTTAACCTTCTAAAGTATTATTAAAAACGTCTGAACTTGAAAAGGCTAAAAAAATGGCAATTATACAATATACCTACACGTGTTTGATATTAAAAAAAATGCACAATACACAAAAATCTGTTTTAGTCCTATTGAATCAACTCTATAAATTATATTGCCTTTAGCGATTTCTCGTCATCAAATACTTCCTAACTTTGTGCCCGAATAATTCGAACAAGAAAACTATTATCGATAGAACTTCTCCAACGACCAACATCATAAACAGACCAACTAAATCCACTATTTTAATGACATCCCTCGATTTGTAATATTTCTTACTCGCATTTTTACCTTTATTCTTCACAGCCGTGTACTGCTTCCTCAAATTTATTATCTTCCTTATAGACCTATGGTAAGGGGAAATTTTTTGCAACATGTAAACATGGAATCCGTACTCGACAGCTTCCTGTACAATATGAAAAACAGCGGAATATTTATCGTCTTTAACAGAGCTAACGTAATCCACTGCTATTTCATGTTCAAGCACATAACCCACAGATGTATCCGGTTTGTTCAGCATTTCGTACATTTCGTTCGACAGCCGAACGATCAGCTCGTTTTTCTTGAATTTCGGAGCCACTTTTGCCAATTGGAATCGTTTACCAACCAATTTCATCCGGCTCTCCGCCACACCTTGCAACGTGTTCAGCGGTTCGGAGTAATCATCGTGTATGAACACGCTGAACAAATTCGTCTGGAACACGATATTACCGACTATCGTGAACATCACCCAAGCAATCACGAACACCGACAGGTACTTCTTGAACCTGTTGATTCGAAACACGGGAATTTGCAAAATTATTTGTACGCTTGTGAACAACCACGAATGGAATGGTACTCTTCTTTCTATCAGCTTGAACAAGCAAGAAAACGCAATGATTGTTAACAATATCGTTAACCAAGTAGTTAGATCGTAAATGAGGATTATTTTTAATGAGCCTATTGTGGGTTTACCCTTAGCTACCACCACTACCAGTTTGTCGACTTTGTTGAAAACATAGTCGATGAGATAGGAGCTCTCCTCGAATTGGAGTTCGAGTAAAAACAAGGAGCTGAGACAAACGTCCGTTTTGTACGCGTTTAAAAGCTTTTTCACTCCTTCGAAAGACAATTCGCTGTCGATGAATTTTGGTGTAGCATTCATCATTTTAATAACGTCTTTAACAACCTCCGCTACATCTGAAGATTTACTTTCAATAAGGTTGTCCATTAAATTCGGCGTTTTTTCGTGGAAACTGATACGCAATGGATACCGGTGCATGTTCAAAACAGTGTTGAAATACAAGCAGGGGTTGCAGTTTGTTATATCAACAATTTCATCGACGAAAGGGTTGTAGTTGATGATTGTAATTACGTCGTAAACGAAGACTACCACGTAATAGTAAATCCCCTTTTCCCATAGGAATTGCAGAGATTTCCTAATCAAAGCCTTGTCTAATTCCTTGTCGGGTAAAATAAAATATGTATAACCATCGGTTGTCCAGATATTTTCGTCTATTAACATTTCGACGTAGTAAGGGATCTCTGAAATTGAATCCGCGAATATGAAATTCCCTTCAGACGATCTCAGTACGTTCGTTATTGTTGAGTAATTCGACGAGGAGTACTGAAAAACGTAATTGGAGCAATTGTTGTAGGCTAAAAAATAATTCGCCATTTCTGCAGCGATATTAGTGGAATTGTCTAAGATGTAGATCGAACAAATCGCATAATTGTGATGTAAATGATTTTCGAAACCGTCAATGTAATTTTTCAAATTTTTCTGGATGTTTTTTAATTCGCAATTGCCTATTTCCAATGCGAAAACAATGTTACTAACAACTGTAAGAAAAACAATAGTCAAAAAATGCATTACCATTGTGTTAATCGCACAGTTCAATATTGTTTGTTTTGTGTTAGTAAGGTAAATATAGGTACTGTTACTGTTGCTTTCAATACGAATTCTCGGCTGTTCTGTAAAAAAATGTCCATAAAATTCTATTTTTTTATTATTGATTTTCTTATTCTAGCAATTAGAGTAGTATTATCTCTTCAAACTACACCTGTACATACATTTAAAGTAATGACTTCAAAGCTACACTATACACTTATTACGATTATAACATAAAGCACAGCAGTACATTAGGAGTTAAACATTTTGACTTGTATGTAAGGTGAAAAACGATTTTAATCGACTTATTTTAGGTAAAATGTGTATAATTATTTTTGTTTCTGTTTTATGACCCTTTAATTTATAGCAATTTATAGGATAGGTACATCTGCACCTAGGATACCTACACCTAACAAAATATGAGTTTTAGCAAAAGTTGAATGAATTTTGTTGATTTTTTTTCAGTGTACGTATAGTAGGGTAATTTATATAAACTAACATAATAAGCATTTATTGTAATTTCGCAGTGTAAAATACTAAAAATAGTGAAGAATGCGGAATTTTCATTTCACTAAAATTGCGTATTAGTCCCGTATTCAAAGCTCGATTTTAACGCTAATCAATCGTTTCCCAAACATTCCCTTACCTTGACAGTTTTTTATTGTTGTTCTGCAGTAACTAGGGACATTTTACATGTTAATGAGACTCTTTAAACGACTAATTAACGTTAAAATAGAGCAGACTTTCACTTAGAATTGGGGGAGACTATAAAACACACGGTCGTATATCATAAGGTCTGGATACTCGACTTTATCGATTTTATGATAGTTGTGGCACAGAGTAGACAACACTGTTTTCTACTCTATGGTTGTGGTGTCCCGTTAAATGAAGTAGTTTTTAATAGTTCACTTGGCCACCGTACCGTATCGAACGATCGGAGGATCAGCGATTACATTCAAACTTATATCTTATATAAATTTTGTGGACAAGTAAAATAATTGGGAAATAAGCTCTGTAAACAATTATTGGATTTTGAAGGTTGTTGCTGTATCTCCACTCCAGCGACCTAAATGTTTTATTCAAAAAATATCCTTTACAACATCGCCGCCTACCGGTCGTTATAGGAGTTAAGCACGGGATACCTTGCTCAGTTTCCAGACCTTATAATATACGACATACGTCCGTAATATAACATTCCTTGCTCGCTAAATGTCAAAGTCAAAACGTCAAATGTCACGAATGTTATTATGTGTTGTGGTTGTGTTTAGTGTTATTGATATTAAAACGATATTTTTTTAGTAAATTATTTGATAATTCTCATATCATATCAATTTATTTGATAAGAAGCAACGTTTGTGAGACGAATGTATTTCCTGCGTTTGTGATAATTCGTTTTAGTATCACCTTGAAGGAACTATAAATTTGCATTTCCTGTGGAAGATATCCTGTTTCCCATCCAACGGAAACCTTAGGTTTTTCGCTTTAAAAATGAATACATAATATCGTGTGAACGTTTACAATCGGAAAACGCACACTCGAGGTACGAACCAAGAGTAATCTTCGTTACTTTCTATTCATTGTGATGTAATTGCAGTTGCTTTATTTAAATTAGCTGGCTATTTGCAGTTTGTAGCCTTCAAACTTGCTGCATTTTATTGCTTTTTAGATTCAACTAACATGTCCGAGGAAGGTTTAGATTGGTTACAATCCATTTTAACAGAAGTCCAATTGAGTCAATTTTTGGTTCCTATAAGGGATGATTTGCAAATATCGAGGCTGGAACATTTTGATTATGTTACTACGGAGGACTTAGAAAACATTGGCCTCAGTAGACCAGGTATTTATGCTTCTTTTAAACACGTTATTTGTTTAATAATTAGAATCATTAGATTGTAACTTAAATTTGTGTATTCGATTTCGAGCTAACGAGTGTATTTTTAGGTGCTAGAAGATTACTGGAGGCCATTAAAAAGAAGCGAGCACATCAGAAGAAAAAGAATCTAATCAACAAATTCATTCCCGTTTCTAATAAGAATCACACGAGCAAAAAACATGAAGAAGCTATCATTACAGATTTTACGTCTTGTCTCATACAAGAAGCCAATTTAACCCTGTCTGTTAAGCTAGGAGATGGCAGTTTTGGGGTCGTAAGAAGAGGTACATAATTGAGGAATTTCCAAAATCTTAGAAACATGTAAAAAAATTTAATCGCAAATATCCTCATTTTAAACAATCCATTGCAATACAATGAGTAAAGTATCTTGCGAATCAAACAAAACTCTAATAATTTTATCGGTAAAATAGTAAGAGAATAATTCATCTGCGAAATTTGCGAGATAACAGATTAAAAATTTCTCATTAAAACTTGAGTAATTTTTATTGATAATAAAATTTTTAATACTAATGCTGACAAAAAAATTATACTCGTTTCTTGCTAATTGAAATCCTGTGGAATTGCAATAATTTCTATACAGAGAAAAATTTAATTTAATTTTCAAGGCGAATGGATAAGCCCCAATGGTAAATCCGTGCCAGTCGCAGTTAAAGTCCTCAAAGCGGACGCTCTAAGCCAGCCGGGGGTTTTCGAAGATTTCATAAAAGAGGTCCAAGCGATGCACGTACTTAGTCATCAAAATTTAATTAGGTAAATTCGTTACTAAGCAACACACGCGCCAAATAAAAGTAATTTTTCCATTCGATTGTAGATTATACGGAGTGGTTCTCTCCCAACCGATGATGATGGTGACCGAACTGGCGCCTTTAGGCTCTCTGTTAGATTATTTAAGGAAGCAGTGCGATCACACCCCCGTACCGATGCTATGCGAATACGCCACACAAGTGGCCACCGGCATGGCCTATTTGGAAAGCAAACGGTTCCTGCACAGAGATCTCGCTTGCAGGAACGTTTTGTTAGCCGCTTTAGATAGAGTAAGTATCGGCCGCATTAGATTTCTGCTATCGAAACATGGTTTGTTGTGCTCAGGTTAAAATTGGCGATTTCGGTTTAATGCGGGCGCTGCCCCAAGAAGAGGATTGTTACGTTATGACCGAACATAAGAAGGTGCCTTTTCCTTGGTGCGCGCCGGAATCGCTGAGGTTCAGGCAATTCAGCCACGCCTCTGATACTTGGATGTTCGGGGTCACCGTGTGGGAAATGTTCTCGTTCGGAGAAGATCCCTGGATGGGATTGATAGGTAGGAATTGAGCTTTTATTTAGGTTTTTAGATAAGGTTCGTACGTTTTAAAATGGCATTAACATCATTTTTAGTCATTTCCGCGCAGTTTAAAATTTCCCTAGTGTCATTGGTAATTCTGTTGTTTGACTAGAGGAATTTTACCTTGCGTTGTTGCCATATCGTTAGTCTCAAAATTCCGCTATTTGTAGTTGACACGTTTTGACTAGAGTTTGTTGTTTTTGTGAGTTTCCTGGCGATTTTTGTTTTTTCTAGCTTTTTTAAATGTTTCTAGAATGTTATAAATGATTCTGGAGCGTTCTAAATGGTTATTACAGACAGTTCTACATATTTCTGGAGAGTTCTAAATGAATCTAGACATGTCTAAATGGTTCTGGAGAGGTCTAAATGATTTCAGACAGTTCTAAATGATTCTAGACAGTTCTAAATGATTCTGGAGCGTTCTAAATGTTTCTGAAACAGTCTAAATGATTCTAGACATTTCTAAATGATTCTAGACAATTCTAAACAATTCTGGTGCGTTCAAAATGATTGCAGACAGTTCTAGGTGTAGACAGTTTTTGGTGTAATTTTCGTGCTTGTGTATTATAAATCTTCAATTAAATGTATCTGTCATATAAAGGATTTAAAATTAAACTCGGCAACGTTGCAACAGGCTGGCTCGCAACGTCATAGTCATTTTAATACGTACGAACTTTATCTGTAAGTGGATGTCATGACTTGCCCAATGAACTAGGTTCTCCGGAGTTCATTGAGATCTACAAGTTGGTAGAATATAAAGTAAAAGTTTAACATTAACATAACTTTGGAGAAATTTGGATTAATTTCGCTGTAATGCACAAAAGCTCTTTTGTAAAATTTAATAAACTTGTTAAGATATGCCATTTATCCACAGATATTTCATACTCGGGTAAATGTGACATAAATTTAAATGTATCGTAAAAATGAATAACAATTTAAAGTATCCTTAAAAATCCACTATCTATATTGTTTTTAAATAACGAAAACACTCACCTTCTCTGTGCCCATAACAAAATGAAAAAAAAAATTAAATACAAAAATTTTTGTCTATGCACGATGTTGATTATCGAATTTCACCAATTCCAAAATGCGCGAAATTTGCATTACAGCCTGTCCCCAATACCACTCGCTTATTAAACGAAATTATTTTCCCAACATTTCCCTTGGAAGATTTTTTTTTATTGTTGAATTTACTCGAAGGTTCGGAGATACTGAGGAAAATCGAGAAGGAGAACGAGCGGCTGGCGCAGCCGGAGGCCTGCCCGCCGCCCGTCTACGCCATCCTGCTGCGCTGCTGGGCGAAGGAGCCGCAGGAGCGGCCGACGTTCTCCTCGCTGAAGGCCTTCTTCCGCAAGAACGTGACGCCCGTCATGAAGGCGGTGGGCCGGCAGGACGAGGCCGGGAAATTGAAGGTGGAAGAGGGCGACGAGATCGCCATCATCGACGGCAGCGCCGAGCTGTATTGGTGGAAGGGCCAGCACCAGCAGACGTTCAAGATCGGTTTGATTCCGAGGTGTTTGGTCGATCCGATGCGGCCCAAACAACCCGGAGACATCAGGTATAAGATACCTAAAACTATTCGTTATGTATTTCTTAAATGTGGTATTTTTTTTTTGTATTAGCAAACCCCTTCAGCATTCGTTTATTCACACCGGACACGGGTCGGCGTTCGGGGATTCCTGGGGCAGTCCATCGTACATCGATGATATGTACTTAAAAAATCCAATGGATCCGCCTGACGTGATTGGCCTCAAGAGGCAACCGAAACCCGTAGTAGATATCTGTGATAGGACGAAATCTAAAACCGGTAAATTTTTCAGTTAAACACCTTACGCCGAACGTAAAGCGCATTTATCCGTAGTTAGTAATTCCCTGAGGAGGCCGGATAAGCAATTCAACTATAAGAAACTGACGAATAGGGACAGCTTCAAGATCAAAAACAAGCCGGTGAGGCCGCCTGAACCGAAAATTGACACGTCAAGGGAGGCGGTTCTCGTCGACATATCGCCCGAAGAATTTCCCTTGACGAGAGTTAGAAATACTGTGGAAAGCCGGCCGGAATCTAGAGCTGTATCGTTGCTGGACGAGCCGATCGATGTACCCCAAGAAGGTAATATTGCACACAAATAATAGAAGATTGATAATATTAAGGGGAGCGCAGGAATTCCACACCCTACTCTACTTTACGACAGATTAATATTTTTTTTCGTGAATATGTGGGACTTTTTACAATTTTGAATAATGATAATGATAAATTACTATAACTTTTCGCATTGTACACGAATAAGAGCAACTTTAAGATGCCTTAGATGATACATTAACAAAAACTGTCAAAATTGACATTTAAGATATTTCGTATGAAAGAAGTTTAATAGAGGTGGGAACCAATTTGTGGTACAGAGGCGCAGTAACGACTGTAACAAAATAACTTGTTTGTTAAATATTGTTCTTCTGATTACACTTTTCTACTCTACAATATCCATTTTACAAATTTTCGGGTACCCATTAATGAATTATTTTTATCGTGTGGAATTCCGATAAGGGATTGACTACGACCCAAAAAGGGATTATTATTTTGTTGGGGAATATTAAGGTATTTTTTTGCAGAGAATTCCTGGGATATTCCAAACGAGCACGACACATCAAACATCAGCCCTCCTCCCTACAACTCTCCACCTTCTTACTCCAATTCCTCCCTTTTCGCAACCCCCGAATCTACCAACGATCCTTTCGACACGTCGAAGGTATTCAAACAAGACGTCCCCAAGGAGCCCCTTTTTCCCACCGTGTCGCAACCGAACAACTCCGCCTCGACGCCCACCAGCTCTCTCATGCACAAAATCACGCAAAATCTGCTCGAAACGAGCCCCGGCAAGAGCCAGCGGGGCTTCGTGCAATGCGACATATCCAACAGAGGCCTGAACTATTTCAAAACGAACGGCTTCGACAACGTCGCCGTGTCCAAGCAGGTTACCGTCGCCCAAAAGAACTTGGCCACGCCGGTTAATAATACCGAATGCGACTCGGCGTCTAATTCGCTCAAGCTGGAGTCGCCCGATCGGCTGGGAATCGACAAGCAATTCCTCTTCGAACTCGAGAAGTGCCTGTTGGGTAAGGAGAAGGAGAGCAACGCGCCATCGCCGGATCCCCTTCAGGCGATGAAGAAGAAAAATAACGTGCCACCCGACGCCTCTCCGAAGAACCCCAACCGTACGTATTATTAACAAATAGCTCGAATTTTTTTGATTGAATTGTTTTGTTCAGAGATTTATTCGACCGTGTCGAAGGTGTACTCGAAAACGATGAACGGTGCTCAAAGGAACGACACGAATACTGTGATAAATAACATTTGGTTCGAGACAACTGCCAACGGGAACGTTACTCCCAATAAAAACGTTCAATTGGACCAATACTCGCTTACTCAGGACACGGATCGATACAGTTCTACTAGACGTTACGATCCCGTTTACTCGTCTAGTTCTTTCAACGGAACCACTCATTACGATTTCGCCACTGACCCCTCGAATACTATAGGTATGCTATAGTGTTTACCTATGTTTTACCGAGCTTTTAACGGATAATCCCGTTTTAGATCATCAAAAAGTGAACAAATACCGCCAAACCATCTACAACAACATTTCACCATCGTCGAACGCTCTCTACAGCAAAGCCAATCACTACAATACGGTGGCTTCGGACCGAGATCCGTACTCTTCGAACTGCTTGTACAAAAACCAATCTACGAGCTACGGTTACAGCAGCGTGGCGAGCAGCGTTTCAGGCAGGCAGTACGGCGAAGTGGTGGACGATCTCTACCACGAAATACCGGAGAACCTCTACAGCGACATCGCTCAGGACGACCCCCTCAAACCTCACAGGCCGGCTCCTACCAAACCTACTTCGATGCAACCGTTGAGTATGCAACAAATCCAGAGGAAAATTCAACAAGGCGTGGTAAATATGTTATGCTTTGTTCATTTCACAAGTTAGCCTTATTTAGAGGATTCATACAGTCATCGACCGGTTAACTTGAACATGTTAATTAATATTTATGTTAATTGTTGTTTATTTACAGTTGAGCGCCGATGCGGAACGTTTAATGACGCCGGAATACCGCAGCAATAAGATAAGCCAGGTGAGGGATTGTCTGCCTGACGTGGATATTGACGAGTGTCTCTCGGTGCTGCAATCGAAAGGGTGGGACGTTGCGAATTCTGTGAAAACGTTGAAAATCAATAAGCTGCTAAGGTAGGAATTACGGTGGTTTTCTTGGTACACTGGACTTTACGATTGTTCAATTGCAGGTTGGGTTTAGCAGATCAGGCTCGGTGCGAGGCGGCTTTGCACCAAACAAACTGGAATGTCGAGTTGGCTGCTTCGGCGATTCTCGATTTCTGAATACATGATATTAGATAGTTCTTTAAATTTTTATGATTTGCGAATTTTTCCTTTACTAATAACATCACTCGAATAATTGTAATTCCATTTTAACAATAGGGAATGTATGATAATTGTTATTGTTAGTGCTCCTTTAAACTTGTTGGCCCGTATTCATCGCCTCTGTTTTAACGATTCTTTAACTAGTCTTTAACTGACTAAACATGAAATATAATTGCTAAAAAAAGTGCTGAGTACCGGCCATTGAATACTTTACATACTAAACGTGCCAAAGGAAATTTCTAGTTAAAATTATGTTAATTAGATCAAAGAAAACATGTGATTTCTCAAACAAAAAAAAACAGTATAAAATAATGAGTAGTATTTAGTTGTGAACGATTCGAATATTAAATAAAATTACAATTAACATAATTTCCATGAAACGTGTATGCCAATAGTTATTAACTTTATTTATTTTTAGTTAAGTGTATACATATTTTAAGAATTACAAAAATAAAACGTTACGCATTAGAACAGTATGTGGTATAGTATAAATTGTTGTAACATACTAAACTAACCACGATTTATTGTACCAAGTTATTAAAAGACAAAGTAAATCAAAACCAATGGATTTAACTTGTTGCATTATACACATTTATTTAAGAAATATTTTCATTAAACTTTTTCCAACTGAGTACTTGCTGTATAAAAATGCAATTTCTCCTTTTTATGACTCGCTATTGAAATGGATATTGTTATTACTCCCCGGAAATAAGCATGAATAATATAGGAACAGATTAGATCCAAGTTGCCTACTCATAACGGTGTAAATGTAGAACTCCATTCAAAATTATCACTAAATTCTAGCGAATTTCAATAGGAACTGAAAATAAAATTGTTTTCGATCTTAATTTTTTATTGATGATCTGGAAAATGATGTACATAGAGAATTGTATTTTAAATTTCAAAATGAGTCTACCTTGTCAATAAAATATCGACAACTTCATAAATGGAAATGTTCTCAAAATGAGAATCAAAGCATAATATTAACTATATGTACAATTTACAAGACTAATTTGGCAAATCCCTAAATTTATTAAGCAAGAAAATTGAGAAAAATCACTTAAACCTATCAACTATCTCACAGTTACTTAAACCTATCTCTTAAGTAGATTGGCTGTTTACACTATTATGTACAGGTATAATCGAATTTTATTTACAATAATTTTTCGCTCTCTTCCGTCACTTTCACTGCAATATTCAGACTTAATATAAGCATAAAATTTTACGTTCTGCATAACAAATATATTAATAAGTCGGATCAAAATTTCATTCATAAATAGCATTTAATTTTAAATTAATTGAATTAAAATAATTATTAGCCAACTTACTTATGCTCAAGTGATGTAGATATATAATATAAAAAAAATATTTTCTCTTTTGTCACAATTTTTCATTATAAGAAGTGCATGCATATAAATTGTAATATTTTGAGATTTTTGTTAAAATTTAAAGCTAGGAATTTAAATAAGGATTGGCCATCACGATGATTTTCTACGATAAAACGACATCTCAGGCCTTTTTAACATATTTGATGCAGAATAGTTACCGCAAGCTACAAAAGTTTTTCAAAAAAATACAGTTTTTTTGTATCAAACGGTTGGCAATGGAAAACGCTAGTAGAACATCTACAAGTGTAATTCGTGAATTTATATTTCATTCTAAAACGAGAAATTAACTTGATTTAGTCGGTACCACGAATTTGTACATTCCAAACTAATCAAAACAAAATATCTAGCCTAATTATTTTATTTTTATCATAACTAACTCAAAACATTCGAACAGCGTCGAAATTACAACAACGCCTTCAAGGAAAAATACAATCCCAAAAATAGAAAGTAGCTAAAACATTTGAACTTACAATTATTCCTCAAATACCAACCATAGAAAACAAATAATATTTTCAAACATTTCCCTCCTTCAAACTTTGCGCCTTCATGCTCTGCACAATTTCTCGCCTCGCCTTTTTCTTCCTGCAATCCGGACAAAACCACTGGCCCTTAGGGGGCACCATAATCCCCACGCACTCGAAATGGAACCATTCGATCGCACAATCCGTCGCGTCGCAACCGATCATTTCCGAAACCTGCAACAACAACAACACATGAGTTTCGCGCAACTATTATAAACTACTATAAATTGTGAATTCTAGCCTAGTTACCTCATCGTAAGGACATTGACAATAACAATACAGTTGAGGTTGCGCCGGTTTGGGCGTGATGGATGGCTCTTCGGAACTGGAATCGTTCGAATCGCTGGCGCTATCGCCGTCCGCCAATCCTCTACTCAGCAATCGAATGGGAGGTATCGAAGGCTTCGGTCGCGGCCGCGCCACCCTGAAATCGCTCAGATGGGCGCCCGTTCGAATCGATATAGGCTCGATGGGCGGCTGCGACGGGGGCGGCGGCGGCGGCGGCGTCGGTTGCGCTCTAATCGTAATCGGCGGCACCACTTGCGGAGATTTCGGAGGCGGAGGCGCCTGCAATTAATAACATCCATTATTATACACGCCTTTGTGAATAATTCGTAGATGATTAACCTCGGATTTTCTCGATTTCGCTGCCGGTTTGTCCTGGTCCTCGTCGCTGGAGTAACCGTAGAATTTGTTGGGCACCCGTCGGCGCTTCGAGGCCCGCAAACTGGTATCGGAGGAATCGTGCTTACTGAATGTGGCCTCGTTTTGTACTTTGTTGTAATGCACCGATAGCTGAGGCGGCGTACTAACTAACGTCGATGGACTAGATATTGGAGAAATTCTTGATATCGTTAACGTAATCGGAGCCACAGATTGAGGTTGTACTTGTTGCTACAATCAAAAAAAAACACATAAAAAATGATCAATTAAATAACTAAATTCCATTACCTGTTGATGGAACTGTTGGTAATACGGAGGAATCGGAATATCCGGAGGAATAATATTGTCTACTTCGACGATGTTCGCCGTCTTTCTTTCGCTTTTCTTTTTCTTCTTCTTCTTCGACTTCGACTTCTTCTTCTTCTTCTCCTCCGGCTGCTCGACTTCAACGGGAGGAGTAGGCGGTCGACTGGTACTCTCTATAAACGTTCCGTTCGGAATATTATTCGGCCCCACGAGTTCCGACAATTGCTGTCGCTTCTCCTCGAGAATCTTTTTGGCGAATTGCTGGGGAGCCTTGTCGTAAAACTCCTCGTCGGTTTCGCTTTCCGTTGTATCGAGATCAGATTCCCTTATGGGGGTTTCGACGGCAACCGGAGGTACGGCCGGTACTGCCACGTTCGATTTATTTGCCGCAGCTAAAAGTATTCATGTTACATTAATAGGAAACTTGCTGTTAAATAAAAACTTACTTTTGTCTTGTTCGGCTTTCAGTTTCTTCGCCCGTTCTTTCCTCTTCTGTTTCTTCATCAACAGTCTCCGTTTTCCCTGCTCCGAAGAACTGTCCGAGCTCGAGCTATCCGACGATGAGCTGGAGCTGCCGGAACTCGAGCTGCAGCTGCAATTGGAACCGCACGAACAACTCGAAGAATCCGAATCGCTGCTGCTGCTGGACGAACTACCGGCCTTTTTCCCTTCTTTTTTGTTAATTTTTTTCGAAGCTATTTGAGGTTCAGTCGGCGGTTTGATTTCTTCTCCATCTTTAACTAAAGAAAGTTGTTAGTGGACGTTAATTAACAATAGTATACCCTACCTTTTTGCTTAGAAAAACAATAATCATGATCGACACTTTCTTGTAAAGCCGGTTTAACTTCCACTATGGTCGTATCTACGGCTTTTTGTTCGGAATTCACGCAATAATCATGATCTTGCAAAATGATGTCTACGTTGGGTTCTTCGTCAATGTCTGCTGTTGATGTATTACCATTGTCAACCTTGTCTTGTTCACTGAACATATTGTCTATTTTTTGCTGTTGTTCTTGGTACGTCTTGAAGTTGTCCCAAATATTTTGCATGACAGCATTGCTGTTTTCTTCGACGGGCAATTCAGCAGCGGTTTTTTCCTCCTGAAGTATATCTAAAGGTGGTACTTCTCCCGGCGTTTCTATTTCTGTACCGGTATTCAAATTTGATTCTTTGGATTCGACTTTGTTAGTGGTCGATTCGGTTTCGGATTCGCTACTGCTATCACTTTCTGATAAATTCAGAGCAGGCAGGTCTTCCAAAACGTCGATTTTCTGTTTCGGCTTTTCCTCCACTTTTTCTTCTTCTTTCGAGACTTCCGTTTTGATTGCTTCCTCCTAAAATAGTACAATTAATAAGCTTATTTTAACGTGAAAAAATTCTGATGAATTATACCTCGTTTTTAATTTCTTCGATGTCAGGCGTGGGCTCTTCGATTTTAGGCTCCTCGGGCGGTTCCACGTGCCTTCTGTAATGTTTCTCTAATAACTTTTTAGAAATGAATTTCTCCTCGCACCCTTCGAAAGTACACGAATGTTTCTTTTCGTTAGTGTGAATTCGCTTGTGAACTTTGAGAGACACCGCGCGAGTGAAGATCAACGGGCATTCGTCGCAAAAGAAGTTCGAAGGCGGCACACAAAAATGGTACACGTGTGGCCACTTTTTTTGCAAGCATTTTTTACACAATACACTTTCGGTGCCGTGCTTCCAAAACAGGTGTCTAGTAATGTCCGGCTTGTTTCTGTACGCGATGCCGCACCTGTAGCAGAAATGGTGCAACTTGTGCTTCCAAACGTGATTGGATAGTCTGTGTTGAGTATGGCAGGTCTCCAGGCAAACATCGCAAACGTTGTGCTTCTTCCGCAGGTGGACCATCAAACGAAAGGAACTGGGCATGTCATCGTGTACGCACATGCAGCATCTAAATTGCAATTCATAGTCCAATACGTAGACGCCCGGGCACAGATGACAAATAAGTTCACTGTAACTATAAAAGTTCGATTTGCACATTATGCACAGCAACAGGTTCTTCGAATGGTATTTCCTGTTGTGCAAGTACAAATCCTTATGTACCGTCGTACTAAAATGACACTGGAAACATTCGAATAAATGTGAGTATGTTACAGCTTCATTGCTTAAATTCGAGTCCAAATTGAAAAATACCATCGACAATTCTTCTAAGCTTTCTTTTATTCTACAAAAAAAAAATAGTTATTAAACAATACTCTCGTTCAATTGGGTCATTTTCACACCAAATAATTCCTGTTATAGTAAGTGAAAAAATGACCAATTTGCCAACAAATAAATATACAACATGCAGAGATAATAAAACTAATTGAATTACCTATTAACGAAGTTTTCTGGAATTAATTCTTCTGCAGTTATGCTATTTACAACGGCAGAAAACCTATGCTCGGCAATGCAATGTAAACCTAATTGTTTACCATTTACGGCGATTTTTCTAGCGTGATTACAATATATACAAGTCGGAATGGTCATTTTCAGACATTTTTGCAACAAACATCGCGGATCAAATTTGTCTAAAGGTTGTTCCAGTTGCAATTCTATTATGGAAATGTCCGGACCGGCAATTTGAAGGTTGATTTCGTTCTTGGCTTCCTCAATGTTGGTTTCGTTCTCTTCTTTAGCTGCTTCAGGGTCTTCCTCGACGTTCGTGTGGTCGATATCATTTTCGTATTCGCTTTCTACTTGATCGATTTCCATCGTTAATTTATCGCTATCGTCGCTTTCTTCAGCTTCGGCTTCGTACGATTCCAGCTTCGGAAGTTTGAGAGACAGTTTCGGGACTTTCCTGGTGTCTTCTGGTTCATCGTCCATGTGCTGCTCATCGTCATCAAGTCGGTTCACATTAGGTTCGTTTGTGACAGAAATATCGGCATCTTCATTACTTTCCTTGGAGTTTTCATCGAATTCGCTAATATTGTTATTTTTAATGTGACTTTTGCTGCCCTGACAATTTAATTCAGTTTTATCCGTTTCCATGGCGGCTGTTTCTTGATTTTCCTCGGTTTCTAAACAATCGGAGGTTTTTAACGCTTCCTCGCAGGATTCTGTAACCGGCACCTGCATCGTGCTTTCCATATTATTGTTAGTTTCCACGACGGATTCGGATTCTCCTGTCACGTGATTTTCGGGGGTGATTTGTTGCTTGGCCGATTTTTTGTTTTTATTCTTGCCGACGCAGTGGTGGTAAAAAAAATTGTCTTGTTCACTAAAAAGCTTGCTACAATCACAACAAGCTATGTAACACGGTTCGTTATACACGTTAAAAAATTCATCCAGAGTGTTTTTGTAGCCGGGCTCCAGATTGTGCTTAGACTGTATATGTTGGCATAGTTCTTCCAAAATCGAAAACATTCCTAAACAATACAGGCATATGTATCTTTTGTGGAATTCCAGCATATGAATGTACAAGTTCCAATTTTCGTAATAAGTACCGCACGCCGAACAAAGGAACACTTTTCTCGTTAACTTGAAGCCCGAATAGGAGTTTTCCTGTGCGACATGTTGCACGGTCTCCTCGCTGCATTCGATTATGTGATCTTGGAGGTTCGATAGCGATTCGAAGCCGGAACGGTTGCACTTGGGGCACTTGAATTGAACGGACGGTTGTAAACCTAAATACTGCGCGTACTCCCTTACTTTCGGCTTGGATTTGACCTTTTTCTTCAATTTCTTCGAACTTTTCTCCGCTACGCTATCGGAATTATCGTTCGAGGGATGGTTGTGATGCAACAATTCGAACAAGGATTCGTTGAAATAGGGATTCGAGTGCGTCACTGTTTCACTGATATGTTCAGAATTTTCTTCACTAAAACACATTAATTTTTCAAGACTCTTCTTCCTCGCACCTCTTTCCTTATTATTAACACTCTCATCTATTATAAGCGCGTCACTACCTGAACTGTAGGAGTTTTCTTCGTTTAAATCGGCGACGCTGTCACCATTTAATTTAGCGGTTTCAATAGAATTCGTATCTTCCTCTTGATTAACGGCGATATTCTTTTCAGGCAGTTTTGCCATTATCGGTACCGCTACTCCATTATTTGCGTGTTCTGGCGACACTTTTTCATCTGTAAAGGGGCCAGTCGAACCATTTTCCATAACGAATCCACTTATTGTAAATCCTACAACAGAAAGACTTTTGGGTAACGATAAATGTCAAAATGATTTATAAAAAACACTTCGAATGTCTGTGCTTGGGTTTCATAACGTTGCAAAACGATGCGAACTAACACATTCGATTTCCGTAGGGCTAATTTGCCTTCTGTTAATTCGCACTTTGTATTTTACTGAAAAAATTATATATTTACCTTTACAACATGTGCTGTTTCACTCCGAGCAAGCAAACGAAATAAATACTAAAGCCTTTTAGACGCATATTTAATAACAAATTCACATATCCCCGCCTAAAGGTTAAGAAAATGGCGCTCCTTGTGTATCTACAAACAATTGATGAAAAGAAATAGTGGGTTTTTCAGAAATTATTTGCTCAATCGATTTAAATGATACATTTCTGTGTAGTTTTTACTAGGAGACTTTTTAATCATAGAAGGAAATGGATAGCGTTTACATTTACAAAAGCCTAAATAGTAACTTATCAAAATAATCATGGTCATGTAATTATTCTCCGTTATGCGCATGCGGGTAATTTGACAGATCAGTTTCTAATTTTATTAATTCAAATTACAAAAAAACCGCTGAACACGAGTTAATTAAAGAGAAGATTTATAATTAGATAATGTAATTGGAATCGTATTTTTTCCTATTGTACACTTTTGGTTTGGTAGGCTTAAATCGATATGAAAAGAAATGGTAAATCGAAATAAGTTTTGAAAGTAACCGGACTTGAAGTTAGGCAACTTATTTCAATCACTTTCTAATTTGAATTCAAATTTTCTCTTTACTGATTGATTAATCTCAACTTAAAATTCGATGATTTTGCTAGTTTTTTTTTTATTTAAAACATATCGATTAATAAAACTCTTGTTTGGTCTAAACCACGGTCGTATATTTATAAAGTCTGGAATATTGACTTTTGCAATATAGGCTGTGGGTGCAACAGACAATTCCCATTGATTTATATAAAGGAACAAGAAAGAGTGATATTTGTGGAATTACAACTTTCTCACTTTAACCGTGCTTATTTTAATAATCTTTCTTTGTTTAACTCGTGAAATTGACTATACAGGTTGATGCATCTTAGTTAGCTATATAGACTATGGTTGCAACAAAGGCAAATTCCGTTAGGCTCACATAAATGAAAAAGAGATCAATTTCTCATTTTAATAATCGTTCTTTGTTCAACTCAGAAATGACCATATTGCATACCAACTTTTATGTATATTGTTGCATGTGTACAAAACATGGTCTTCACTGATCTTTCTTAAAAATCTCATTTTTACACATTTTTTATCCCAAACTAAATAGCAAAAAAGTAAACATTAGGATTAACCAGAGAGAAAGCAAATAAAGGAGGACGGAGTATTTATTTGTCAATGGTATTAACTTTGTATTAAAATTAATCGTATAAAAATTTATTTTAATCAACTTACATTTTTATTCTATTAAAATATACAAATAACAAGTTATCAGATATTCAGTATGACAAAAAAACTAAAACTAAGTTATATTAAAAACTCAAAATCAAAATTTCCGACTGCACGAAAGTATTACAATTGTTACACACAATCCACACTGTGACTCTACATTGTAAAATAATCAACTGACAACACATAAACTACTTCATATCTTTCGAATAAGCGTCCAATTCGGCATCTAATTCTTCTGCTGTGGGTTGTTTCTTCGGTCCTTGCCCTCGTACGTTTCGTCCACCTCCTCCTCGACCTTTAATAAAAAAAAAACATTTTAAATTTTCTGGAGATATTATTGTAAGAAAAGTGGGGTAAATTATAATACACCTTTAAAATAGTTTATAGTAATGTATAAGAAATAAATTACCTCTAGTAGGTCGGCCTTTGTTTCCTCTCCTCGGGGGACTTCTTTGGAACTTCCTCTCGCCAACAACGCTCCTCCTAATGGGGCTAGGTATTTCGGAAGTGGTGAGTTGAATGTTCATGGCTCGTCCGTCTAATGGAACTCCGTTATATTGCTTCATAGCTTTAATGGCATCACTTTTTCGTTCAAAGATAACATCAGCAGTACCGAGCGATCTACCCGACCGATCGTAATGTACAGCAGCACTCTTTAAGGGGCCGAATTCGGCAAATAATTCCTGTATATCAGAGTCAGAAACTCCGAAATCTAAGTTAGATACCATGAGTTTCGTAGGACCCATGGTAGCTTGTACCGTAGCTCTGGCCGCTGCTATTTTTCGGGGGCCGTAACCCTCGAACAAATCATGCTTCCACGCACTGTTTACATCTCCCTAAAGAAACAATCGGTCAGGAACAATACCATCGCAGGCATTTTTTTAATGCGACTCCATGACATTCCAGCCCGAGCCTCAAAATAAAAAATCATTTTAAATTAATAGTAAATGTAGTTACCCGCGTGAAGCTTCGTGTAATTCCACCGCGCCCGCGACCTCTTTGCACATTGCCGCCGCCGGCGCCGGGGCTTCGAAAGTTTCCTCGGCGTGGGCCGCCGCCGCCACCGCCACGGCTCCTTCCGCCGCGTCTTCCGCCTCCTCGCCCCCTCGAGGACTTGTTTGTTTTTATGATATCGTCCAAACTCATTTCGATTTTATCGACCATTTTCACTAGCTATTTGACTAATTTTTCACGAAACGAACGGGTAAAGTTTCTTAAACAGCGTCACCTCAATAGCTTTTACAAAATAAAAATGGCGTAGTGGCCACGACGCAAGCGCGCATACCTAATAAGCCGATGCCAGAAAATTCAGTGTTGCCAAGTTAGATCAGCTAAAATTTCCTCTCAATTTTTGTGCTAGCTGCCTGATTATATGAAGGCCAGTAAATATCAAATTAAGTTATGTGTCCAAGTGAATTATCAAAAGCACCTTCATTTAATGGGACACCGCAACTAATACATAATAAATATACGACCGTGAACCGGACTTCCTTTGGCACTCACAGCTCAAACTTGAATTTCTTCTTCTTCTTCTTCTGCTATATAGCCTCTTGCGAAATCCGCATCTGGCCAACACTTGAGTTTCATAAACCCCTCTCAAGTAACCATAGAGAAAGAAATATGTCTTATAGTTTGTCTATGCAAGTAACCCTCAACCATAGACAACAGACAAAATATAAAACTACTTTCCTTCTTTCTCTATGGTGCCTAACTTCAGTTAATCTGTTGATTTGTTTTGGCTTGTGTAAAATTACCTTTAACTTTGTCATTTGTCAATGTCAATATTTGTATTTGTGTTTTCTCTGGTTTTGTCAGCTGTGTTTTCGTCATTCGAATAATTTTTTTAGTCACGTCAATTTTCATTTTAGAACATATTCGTTCGTCTAACAAAAAAGTGCACGTACTTAAAAGTAACTGTATAAAGGAAGATTCAAAATGGGCTAGCAAACCGTTTTGAGAATTGTTCATTTAACTTGAGTACAAAAGTAAATCCGAAATTAGGTTATAAACACGAAGTGGCTCTTGGTTCTTGTGCTGGCCAATTAACTGCGTACATAGGCCACTTATCGGTCTATTAGATGTGATCGTTTGTTACTTACAAAGTGTCGGTGATAAAAAAACGGACAAATTCCGGATAATTTGCGCAAAACCAATATTTACACTAATATTAATATTTGGTATTAAATAATATGTGATCAAACACCCTTCCAGCAACAAAGGAACTGTAGAAATGGCTTATTCGTACAGCAGTGAAACTGTATTGGATTGGAGTGAAGAGGACGCGAAGTTCTTCCTTAAAAAGGAAGGCCTCTCGGACAGTGCACTGAATACACTTTGCGATGTTAACATGGTGGATGGGAAGTGTTTGTTAGTCTTAAACGAGACCGATTTCCAGACCGAGCCTATAAGTAAACTAACATTGAAAGATAGAAAGTGCCTTTACGTGTTCTGCAAATTGATACAGCGCGAAAACCAGCACGCCCTCGTCGAGCTCGGCGTCTCCGAACAACATTTGTACTCGCACAATAAATATAGCAAAGTAGAAAGCGATTACGGGGCCGACTCCGAGAGAATATCACCAGAAGTATCGGAGGACGGCAGACCTTTGTATCCCCCGGAAAAAAGGAAAGCCCTTCTGGCTCTAATGTACGTTGTAGCTGTAACGTGGATAACGGCCTTTGTGATGGTTATCGTTCACGACCGTGTACCTGACATGCAGAGATACCCGCCGCTTCCGGACATATTTTTAGACAATGTTCCCCTGATCCCTTGGGCCTTCGACATGTGCGAAGTCACCGGAACCATTTTGTTTACCATGTGGTTGATTTTATTAGTTTTCCATAAACATAGGTATGTAATCATTGGTTATTTAATACCGTTTTGTTATTTAATACCGTTTATCAGTTTGTGCCTGATACAAAGGCTATTTCGGGGAAGTTATAGTCTGCTTCTACATTATTAGATTTCCAAGAACATTTAAAAATGACCCGCTCACGTAATATATAAATTTTTATCTTAATAAAAAATGTTTGGACTTTAAACATTTCTCAATTGGTTGTAGTCATATCGAGTTGATTTGTACGTGTTTATTTACTTGATAATACTAATTATTTGATTTATTGACAATTATTTTTAATGTAAAAAAGGTGTACGCTGATTAATTTTCTCTATCAGGTATTCAAAGTTCGAAATTTGAACTGTGAAAATGATCTAAAAATAAAACGTTCAGCGTCATTGGAATGTTGCATTTAATATTTAATACGTCTCGATACGATTTAACTACTAATTATTTATGAGCTAACGTCAAACTCTCATTTCTTTGTTCAAATTTTCGTACTTGATAACTAATTAATTACTTGATAACTACTTAATGGAATAAACGCAATTTATTATCAATTCTAGGTTTATTTTAATGCGAAGATTTTTCGCGCTCTCCGGTACTGTGTTCCTTTTGCGTTGTGTCACAATGCTAATCACTTCCTTGAGCGTGCCCGGTGCCCATTTGCAATGCCAGCCACGTTTCTACACCACCAAGGGGGACTCTCTCTTTGCCGACTTGGCCCGGAGACTTTCGCAGGCCTTCATAATATGGAGAGGGGCCGGTCTGTCCATTAGAGGCGTCAAGACCTGCGGGGATTACATGTTTAGTGGCCACACCGTGGCCTTGACGATGCTTAATTTTTTTATAACAGAATGTAAGTGTATTTATTTAACGATTTAACATCGTTAACAACTCGCTTTCTGTTTCAGATACTCCCCGACATATCTATTACCTCCACACGTTGTCTTGGATGCTGAATATGTTTGGGATATTTTTCATATTGGCTGCGCACGAACACTATTCTATAGACGTGTTCGTGGCCTTCTACATTACAAGTAGGTTGTTTTTGTACTACCACACGTTGTCCAACAACCAGGCGTTGATGCAAAGGGATTCGATGCGCACTAAAGTGTGGTTTCCACTATTTTCGTACTTTGAATCCCACGTGGACGGCATTGTGCCGAACGAGTACGAATTGCCCAGTGAAATCGCCAGTAATTTGATCGACTTCGTGAAAGAACTGTATTTAGATGTATGCAACAAAATTTTAAAGATATTAAGGCCGCCTTCGCAGACTCAGGAACAACCGGCGACTCTCGATAGTAATAGAAATAAACGGAGAACAATCGATGAAAATAGCAAATCGAGCAGGGACGTTAGAGATAACTCGTCTTCTAATGATATTAAATATAGGAAATATCACAGTAAGGATTCGGAACCTTCTACTACAGCGAAGCATAAAGGTGAAGATTATCCTAATAGCCTTTCAAATGAACATAAAGAGAAATAAAGATTTACTTATAGGTATTTGTTGAAAAATGATATAATTTTGGAGGGTCAATTCTCACCCAAATTAAATACATTAGGCTATCAACTAAATTAATTATTGAAATATAACTGGATAACCGAAAATGTTAGATCATCAGGGTGATTATGCCATTAATTCCTCCGTTGTTATTGAATTTTTTTCATTGAGGTCTATGCCATGTTTAATAAATTATTTATTAATTTAACAAATATTGTGATACTGCATTTTTTTAACTTTTGACCTAGGCCTTAAAAATTAAAATGTAACTGTAGAATTGACAATTTTATATTTTTATGTACCAAAAAGGCTGTTTCTAAGAGTGAAAGCATACGATTCTAATGTCTCTGTTATTTAATGTCTGACACATATATTTTTAAACGTACTTTGTTTCTGAGATAAAAATGAATTGAATGATGTGATTATTCATGAATTTATCTGTAAATTTACATTATTTGCGTCTATTATCCACGAGACATAAAGAATTTGCCAAAGACTTATTTTTATCTTCCTTTTATGTAATTTCTAAAAATTTTAGATTAAGCTAATTTTCATACTCAAAGGAATTGGGACCATATATTTAACTTTTATATGAGAAGCCTTTGTTACCAGTTTGAAAGCGTGCACTGTTATTTATTTTGTTAGTAATATTTATTTATATTTAAATTATAAAATATTTGTTAGTTTCTTTACGAGATATTAAGTTATTATTTCTACTGCCAAAATTGTTGAATTGTAATTTCATTACTTTAATAAATTTTTCTTTTCTGGAGATTTCGTTTTTTGTGATATACAGGTAAATGCAAAATTGTTTAAAATATAGTTGCAACAAAGACAACTTCCGTTAGTCTCATATGAAGGAAAAAGATTGCAAATTTCTCACTTCAGCAATTGTTATTCTATTAATCTTTCTTTGTTCAACTCGTAGAATTGCATTTATACCCATATATTATTTTCAAAATAAATGCCAAGTCCAACTTCATTTTTCTTTCGTGGTTGGATTGTAACTGTTTTTAGTTTTTATTAAGCTAATACTAACTGGCCTCTTGCTAGTTAGGACAATGCACATTGTTTATTTCTATTCAAAAACGTGTTTTCTGTTACTGTGATTTTAAGGTTATGTTACGTTATATTTGTTGTGTGTTGTGTTTGTTAAGTACTACTTTTAAACATTGTTCGGTTCATAATCTTTAAATTTATATGTGGCAGTGTGACTAGCAAATATGCCTGTAGTAAAAAAAGTTGTATCCAAAAGCATTGGACGCAGACCAGTGTTAGGTAATATAACATTTACTTCAATCTACCTTCTTGCAAAAGGCGACTTATTTAAACTTTTTCTAACCGTTCAAATGAGCACATTTTAGATCATTTGTATAATTACCGTTAAGTTAAGGTTAAGTAAATATTTTCTTTTGTAGTGGAATTCGATAATTCTTCGATCAACCCCAAAACGTACCAAGATTTAGACGCCAACCTTTATCAAACGCAAAGTGGTGAACACTTAGTCGGCGTCACTTCCGATAAGATATTATACACGGGATTTCTGCAAGAAGATCCGCTGTACAACAATTTTATTCTCATACACAAAAAGGATACAGACGAAGTAATTGATTCGACTTGGTAACTTTCTAAACCGGCTCATTGTTGTAAATTTTTAGATAAAATTGATCCAGGCTGACGCGACCATTGTGCGGCCTCATCTCCAGAAAACCGGCACCTCTGGCTTGAAACGCAAGCTCGAGAGCAGCGTATCGGAGCTGAACAAAAAATTCGGTTCGAAGAAAGCGAAGAGAGTGACCGAGCAAAGGGAACGCCTCACTGCTACTAGCGTGGCTAAAGAACAATTAGAGGCCACTGTTTCAAGTACGTATACTTTTACGAAATTGTTCACTCGAGTTGTAAAATTGAGCATTCTACCACATACCCTCAAAAAAATAGTCCATTTAAAACACTTCTGTCACTTGTCATAACACAAAACATAACCTAGTTGTTGGGTTGTTTACTTTTGTCTCTAAAATCACTAAAATGCAAATGTGATGTTTTTAAATAGTTTATTAGCATTTAATATCCATATTATACATAAAAACGAACTATTATTAATTAAAGTGGCTATGTCTTTGATAAGTGACGCCATAGACTACGGTCAACCTCCTAGTTTAATGTGGAAATTACCTTTAAAAAAAACTGCGAATTTAAGAAACATGGAAATCATCCCCGGAGAAACCGTAACTATTCAACTAGCTAATGGAACGCAAATATCGGACGTAGTAAATTTAAATTGCCAATTGCCTACGCACATACAAGTCGATCAGAGGCAGCACTTGGAGCATCTAACGTATTTGCAGCCAGAGGATATCGTAATAAATAAAAGCAATGTTAATAATGCAATCAGTGTCCAAAAGGACGTTAAAACGGAAAATAAAGGAAACATTTTGAATAGAAGGAAAAAATTTCGTTTGCCCATAGATGGGACTATTTATCATAGTCAACAGCTAGGATTGAAAGTACCTCCGAAGAAAACGTTAGGCATTAAAGGAAAAATAATACATAGGCAAGCTAGGGAGGTAATAAACAATGTTTTTACGTTTATGAAAGAAGAGGCTCAAAATGGAATAAAAATACCCATATCTAATTATAGAGAGCGAGTATTGAGAGCCACTGGTATATCTAAATGTACTTATTCTAAAATAACTACTAGGGAGTTTCAAAGAGGAGACCCCCAGCCTGTGAAAAGATTAAAAAAAATGTTTTTTAGAGGTAATTTGCGCATAAATTAAAATTAGGGTCTTTTTTAATACTAAATTTATTAATACCATAATTTTAATTGTAGACATAAAGCTAAGCGAATCGCAAGATGTTTCCGAAAACAACAGCATGTACAGACCGAAAATAAATAGAGATGCTTCTACTCCAGATGGAGTTTACAATTTAGAGGATTTAGTGGAAGCGTACATATTGGACACATTGGCAGTGGAAGCCGGGCACATAGCAGAAGCAGGTTCTGCCGATCAATTCGGGTAAAAATACTTTTATTGAATGCAAATCTAAAGCAATTGAATTCATTCAAAATATCCTGATTTACTAATTTTACGTTTTAGTTTGAGTTCCTTTTCCACGGCTAGTATTAACAAGGTGTTGCAAAGTCAATCTGACGAAGAGGAAATTATTAGAAGAATCACCATCTTTCTGTACATAAATTACCTTATTAAATTCATGGTGACCCCCATGAAATCAATAACAAAGAAATTTGTTGTCTGTGATAAGTCTATTGATGTTAACAACCACATACTAAACGTGTTTTCTGAAATGGGGCAAAGTGGTAGGTGAGTACTAGGGTATTTTTTTTGTTATGAGTGAGAAATATATCGTGTTTATTTTCTAGGACGAGGCCATTGCATATGAAAGATAAGGCATTGTGCTACACAATGATACTCGCAGCCATCGCAATGGACTTTGAAGTCGACATAGAGCTTTTGTCAAAAGACTTGAAAGTCGGCATTAAAAAAGCTATCGAAGTGGCCAGGATTCTGGCGTTTAACAGTGCAAAAGCTAATAATAAGCACATAGTTCAGCTCAAAGTACCGTTGCCTGCTCCTGTCACCTACACGCCAAAGAGAAGAAAATTTTAATTTTTTTCTAACAGAAGTAATAATAATTTTCGTGGTGTTTTTTTATTTTCTAAGGACAACGAAATAAAGCGAAGTTAATATTTAAAAAACTGTGTTGTAATTTTCTTGTAAAAAAAATTAATAAACAAAACTTACAATCGAATTATTAACGACTAAATATAAAAATATAAACAATATTTTTAATGAAGAGCTACGCATTGGATGGAATAAAAATTTTATACTTTATACAGTAATTGATCTAACATAATTGGCAAGAAAAACGTATTTACAATAAAATATTAAAATTCAACATCCCCTAAATATCAACAGAAATTTAATGTTTTAAAAATGTTCAATAAAAGAATTTACCTCTACCAAACGTAATAAATACAAATTATAATTTAAATTACACTCACTTTCATCATTCAATCATTTATTGCATAATTTATATCTATAAAATCTTGATGCTTCCTCAGTTTACAATTTAATTTTCAAAATAATTCATTCCGCGAAATATGTAACTTTCAATTGGATTGTATTTAAATATATTTTATTAATCAACAAGCGGAATATATTATCTCCTATTGTGTTAAACACTAACAATTTCAGATCCACATTATCCCTTTGATAACGAATAGATAAAGATCCAATGCCGATAAAATTTCATACTAAAATTTTTTTCGTAAAACTCTTTTATATACGAGTAAAAAACATTAAAAAAATCAGACCATCGGGTTAAAGCTGTTGGTTAATAATATCTTGTGCGACATCATTCTCGGTAGACTTTCGATGTCATTCCACCAATTCGTCCATTCTACACCTAATCGCCATATCCACCACTTCCAAACTCGGATAATCCAATTCTTTCACCAAGCACAACACCGCGGAGAGGATATTCGAATTCTATTATTCAATAAACAAACTGATTATACAGGGTGCCGGGTACATAATGTACAGGGTACATTATGCGGGACACTCTGTATACTTTTATTAACAATTATACCTCATCCAATGTAGCTTGGCAGTTGAAAATCGCATCAAATCCAAAAACGGAGAAGATAGAATGGTTTCACTACCAAAGAACGATATAAATTTTCAATGGAAATCTTCCACCAATGGCCTACCCTATCCCGTATTCAAAACCTACCACATAGCATCTAACTAGTAAATGATTGTAACTGCCAAGCTGGATTGGGTGAGGTATAGTAGTGTTAACTTACCCTCGTTACGGGCCTCCTAGCAAATGGGGGTCGGTGCGCCGAAGCGGGACAACCGTAACGTTCTTTTCGTTCCACTGCGTGCGGAACTGAATATTCGCTTCCGGAATACGATGGAGTGTATTTTTCGCCGTTTGAGTATTCCTATAAACATTAACATTAAATGGCCGGTTGTTACAAACTATGATTTCTCAAGAGAGCATCTAAAGAAAGTCCAGAACAGAAGTTTCCCAGCACTAACACTAAGTGGTTCTTCAGCAACGAATCAATCCACTTAATTCTTAGCGCATTAAAGTTTAGGACAGTTCAATATACAGTGTGTCCAAGAACGAGTTATTAATGTTGGATGTCCTTTGAAGTTGCTCTTTACTTTAGCTACTTTCCTTACACACCCTGGGGTATAATTTTCTTTACCCTTAGTCAAGACGCACCTTAATACAATTCGCTGATTGGCTGTTAACCAGCTTTGTTTCCTTAAAGTTAGTGGTTTCAGTTACCGGTTCCTCAAATGATGCGTTGTTAGTAGGAGATGATTTCTTTAAAAACAAGAAAAACGGTATGCGTTAATCATCATATTCCAACAGTTTTTAATAATGATGCTTAAGGTCATTAAAGCCAACAGGGATTGTATTAGGATAGGTAATGGCAGGTGTAGATTAAAAAATACCTCATAATATTGCTGCTGTTGGTGGTGTCGAGGTGGCGATTCCCTTTCGTATTTGACCTGTCTTTTATCTGCATAACCAAGTTCCGGCGAATAATTTCTCCTGTTCGCATCTCTTAAGGGCGGTGGGCTCTAGAGGAATGAGAAAAAAATCAGGATACAACTCCACTCGAGTAATTAAAATAGAAAAATAACACTTATTTTGTAACACCTCTATACGAAAAAATCGATTCCAATCTTTATTAAACTTTTGTCATACAAAATGTCACTAATGTCAATTCTGTCAGTTTTTGCTTATGTATCATAGAACGCATCTTAAAGTCTTTTTTGCGTACTATACTACAAAACAGAGTAATTTATCGTATAGAGTAGAATAGATTAAAAAGGAAAACTATATTTAGAAAATAACGACTGTTTTGTAACAGCCGTTACAGCACCTCTATACCAAAAAACGATTTCCACCTCTATACTCCTGTCAATCGAAACTTGAAATGTCATTAATGCCAATATTAGCAATTTCGGTTCAAGTATCATCGAACGCATTTTAAAGTCCCATTTATTCGCGCACAATGCATAAAAATAGTACCTAATATCTAATTCGTGTAATTAATTCGTCGTAGAGTAGATTGTAAATCAATAGAATTAAATTAACAATTTAGACGAAAATGAGTATTAGCGAGTCTTACCTGTCTCGTGGGCGATAGCGCGTGATTCGCATCCGAGCCATTGTCTTTCAAATAATGATCTTCGTTTTCCTCGAGCTCTTCGTAATCAGTAGTCTATGCAATGAATTGTTATTTGTTAAATATGATTTTAAACTCCGTGTTTAGTTTTGTTAACAATAGGTGTACCTATGTGACGATTTTAATTCATTAATTATACAAGTTAACGACCATTAATTTTATTCTTCCTAAAAAAAAGCGGCGGATCTATCGCACGTAATTAATGATACTACAACGCTTTGTGCGGGATGTAATGCATTGATATACCTAATTAATTTTACCGCATGTTGAATTACGAATATAAAAGCTACTACTTTACTTTAACTTCTATATAAAAAACTAACCTTTAGAAATTATAAATTAAAAATCGATTTTTCCTATTGATTGGAAAATGGTTTGAAGGTTCTCGCAAAGAACTCCTTATAAAATATTTAATAAACGTATCAAATTCTCTTCGTTTGCTAAATAAAACTTTTTGATAGACTCGGAATCGATTATTATTAATCGAATTTCAAACCGACCATCTCACCTCATCCCTGGCCGAAGGTATGGGGCTCTGGCGCAACGGACTCGACTCAGTTTCCGAATATTGCTCCCTGGATCTGACGACTCTATGCTGAGGCGACGAGGCGTACTCGTCTTCGCTCTCCTCCTGCGAATCTTCCGGGTGTATCAGCGCCTTGCCGCGCCTTTGGGCTTCCTTTCGCTCTTCCGCCGTCACCTGGACGTTGTCCAGTTTCTGCAGCTGCGGAAGGGCCCTCAGCACCGCCAATCGATACCTGCGGCAACACTCTAAAAGTTGATCGTAAAATAGCGACATCCGGAACGAATGGGCCTTACCCATCGACGCTCGAGCACGGGTTCTGTTCGAGCCACAGGTTCTTCAAATTGGGCAGGCACTGCAGGTACATCACCTGGCACAAATCCCTGATGTCGTTTTGCCGGACGTACAATTCCTCCAACAGCGTGCAGAATTGGAAATCCGCCAAACTGTTTATTTTGTTAATGCTGCAAGATATTACAATTAATTAAATTGGTGTATTTTTTATAAATTGTAAGTGGTACAAATTATGCATCAATTACATTGCTCATTTGTTATATTCCAATAGATAAATTACGCAATCTAATAGTGTGAGTGAGCGTGTGTTTGGATTGGTGCGGTGACATAATCGATTGTGTATAAACATTCCCGGTCGCAATGTACTTAAAGAATGGCATAAACAATGTTTTCCTAATTAGTTAATGCACGAGAGAAGGTGTTCGAGCGAACGAGGAAAAAATGATTCACAGTCGAATCGGGTGGAGGCGTAAACCCTAAAATGGCGTGCGAAGAATTTTGATCAAGGCCGCCTGTACACCCATTAAATTAAAACCTACACCTTTATGTAAATTTTGAACGTGTTCATGCGACAAAAAAGAATGCATTTTTTTAATAGGTCATGCTATTGAGATCGATATTTTTTAATGAACACTAGATGTTATAATCTATAGAAATTCTGCTGTGAGGAGTGAAAAAAGTATTAGAATTAGAGCGTTTTCACACGGTGCAATATATTGCAGCAATATTGCTGCAACATTGCAGTTTTTATACAAGCGTAAATACAAATTTTGAAAGTCTTTAAACAAAAGAGGGAATTTAAAGTAAATAGAGAACTAATTATAATACTCTTATCTTAATAATTTGTACAACATGAGAAGTATATTTAGTCTTTGCTTTAGTTATAAAGAAGCTTGTATTATAATAGAGATAAATTATAAAAGTTAGAATTTTGATTTGAAATTTAGTATTTACGTTAATTTGAATGAAATAACTAGTTTTCATTCACTCGACTCATTTTAATGTTTCTTTACTTAAGGGACACACCCTGAATATCAGATTACAAGATTTTAATGAGGCAAACTTATTTATTTGATAAGCAGAACATTTATATAAAGAAAGACTTCTAGACAAATGAGGGAAATTCAAAGTAAATAGAGAAATAATTGATACTCTAGGTAATCTTAATACTTTTTTTTTTCTCAAAGAATTTCTCAAAACAAGTAAGAGTTTATCCAACGCAGGAGAAACATGGTATATAGTGTATACATACCTACAAATTAATAACAAAACAACATAGCGTAATTAGATTTAGAAAGCTCCATTGTACCTACTACAAGAATTTCACATTTGTTTCTTTCCACAATTTTGAAGGAAAATATCATTCAGGAGAATCTTAATGATATAAAACGATTAAGACATTATATATTTACGGTTGAAAAACCATCCATTTTAACATCCAACTGAAATCCTCACAAAATAACGAACAAAATACAACCAAGATATATGTTGAAAATGAAAACAATAGTGTAAATTTACGTTACTGTTTAGAATAAACATTTGCAGGACAAACAAATCGGGAAGAGGTATTTAATTGCTCGTATTACATAAAAAAACAGGTACAATTCAACCGATTACTGCGGTAGTTCGGGTACAAATTATGTTGCGAATATAGTCATTGTGAGCGTGGTAATGGTAACAGTAAAATACACGCAGCCATGTAATACTTTCGCGTAGAACGGGCCTCCACTGATTTAGATTTAAAGTGTACCTTTGGAATGGGAAGTTAGATGATGGTGGAAACGGGAACGAACGGTATTAAACAGATTCAAAAACTTTCGCAAGCGTTACCTAATTAATTTTTTTTCTCCTTTCGAGGACCATAAGAATTTTTAAATTGTACACATGCGGGCATTCCGATTTTTTTAACGTTTTATTGAGAGTAAAATAAGGCCATGCCTGATTAAATTTGACAATATGTGTAACTTACTAAAGTATTAAATTTAGTAAAAATTTTTAATAAATTAAACATCAATTGATCAATTAGTTTTAAACTATACTAAAGTGATTCTCCCTATTGCAGACTTATTCATTGTTTCTCATATTAAGTGCACAGCATGTGTTTCCATCAATAAATAATACAGGCCAAGTTTTTTCATAAATAAAATCGATTATTGATTGAATTCTGTTCATAAATAGAATTTCCGTTATTTTCCAACATGAAATATAATTAAGTCTTCATCTTTTATAATGAAGAAATTAATGCACTTAATTAGCATAAATATAACTCGCATAAGCGTCTTGAATATTAATTTCAATAATTATGAATATTCTGTGTACTTCAATATTTATAAAAATACATCTATATTTTTTTGAAGCGCAAAATAAAAAATGAAAATTTGTGTGCAAATTAATTACAATAAATTTTGCAAAATTATGAAATAAAGTGGTGCAAAATATTTTACCTAAATTACCATCAGTATTCCGTTTAATTGCAATTTATAAGATAAAAATACGAAACGAGTGTATGCCACTTTCACTCATTTAATTAATATGCTACATGCTACCGCTTATTTTTTATTTTACTTTTAATTACTATTTTATCCCGTGAGGGATATAAATAAGTTGTAGGAATTTTTATCATTATTACACACTAATAATAGAGATTAAAAATTTAAATTACACTTCATGTGCTTGTTAAGTTTCAGGAAAAAATAATGACTTAATATCGAAATAAAAAATAATAAAAAAATTGCTCACCTTAAAGCCACAACTTCAAGTGAGGGCATTTTTCTCAGCAAAGAAACGTCTATCAATTCGCTGCCCCTAAAACAACAGTTACCCATTTAATATTCAATCATTCTTAAGAGTTTTCAAACAAAATAGTTGCTCTTCATTCGATTCAATATTTTAATACGCACCAGCAATTTATTCTTTTGACTTGACTGAGGTCGGAGCATTTTGTTCGGGCAATCACCATTTCTTCGGTCAACCTCTTCGACATTTTGAGTAGTAATTAAATAACAAATTGTTTCGTTAAAATGTTAATATTTTTAAAAGTATAATTTGGACAACACGATACACACACATCTAAGGTCACGACAGAACTGATTGATGGACATGGACAAATGGACATGGAATTTGTTTTGTTTGACTTTGACACTTCGATATTTTTTGACGTTTATTTGACATGTGACATAATACATTTCTTCTTTTTTTATTAAAATCTAAGTTTATTATAAAAAAGGAATAAGGGTAAATTAATTATTAATACGTTAATGCATTTCTATATGTAATGAACTTGGGGAATTTATATTCTACGTATGGAAATATTTTCACCTAATTTTCCAATTTTATTAATGAATAAATTTGGTAAAAAATACAAATTGAAAATAAAGCAAGATGTCATATATGTATGTCAAAATTACGACAAATTACCTATTATTCCTTATTGTTTGAATAGTTTTGTAATTTTTTTGATTTTTCATCAATTAATGCCTGTCCTTAGGTTCTTTTAAATAAAATTATACAATTTCTTTATGTTAAACGCAATAAGGTCGATTATCGCGGAAACCAAAATTACAAACATTCAACGCAGGCGCAGTACAGAATTCTCTTAAGTCATCCAAATTCTGGGGTCGGCCTGCAAGGTGGCAAGGTTAGTTAGTGTAATTTAATTTTCAGTTTTAACCCATTATTCCACTACATATTAAAAAACACCCAACAGTACTATACCCAGCAAACCCACATACACACGATCCCACGAACTCCCCGTTACTAACCCAAAAAAATTATTAAACGCTTACATAATACCTAAACTTTGATAACCCCGACTTTTAGGCTAAGATGTTCGTTCGAATCGGCAATTTCGGTGGTATCGTCCCATCGCTGGTGCAAAATGGCCAGCAACAGCAACAGAGAGGTATGGCCACCCTAAAGGCCATATCCATGCGATTGAAATCCGTCAAGAACATCCAAAAGATCACTCAATCCATGAAGATGGTGTCAGCAGCCAAGTACGCCAGGGCCGAGCGTGAACTAAAAGCCGTCCGGCCGATCGGCGACGGGACCAAGCAATTCTACGACAAGGCCGAGATCCAGGGCCAGCCGGATGTCCCGCAGAAGTTAGTCATCGCCATGTCTTCGGATAGAGGTTAGCCAAGGCTCCGCAACGCGCATAAACTTGCATTATTAGCTTTAAGAACGCAGTAAAAAGTTGCGTGTTTTTAGGTCTCTGCGGTGCAGTACACACGAGCGTGGCCCGTTACATTCGTGGCGAATTAGCCAAAGACGAGCAGAACCTAAAAGTGGTTTGCGTGGGGGACAAGTCCCGTTTGATCTTGCAGCGTATCTACGGAAAGAACATCATTCTGGCTTGCAACGAGATCGGTCGCCTGCCGCCTACGTTTATCGATGCTTCGAAACTGGCCGACGCCATCTTGAAGTCGGAGTACAAATTCAGCTCGGGGCAGATCGTTTACAATAAATTCAAATCCGTGGTGTCTTATACTACGTCCATTTTGCCTGTGTTCAGTTTGGCTTCAGTTACAGTAAGTGTTGCGGATCGGTGTAGAAGATTTGCTGTTTTACCATTCGGTTTTAGGCCGCTCCGAAGTTAGCGGTGTACGACTCTTTGGATGACGAAGTGGTTCAGAGTTACTTGGAATTCTCCTTGGCCTCGCTGCTGTTCTACGCCATGAAAGAAGGCGCTTGCAGTGAACAATCCTCTCGTATGACTGCCATGGACAACGCCAGCAAGAACGCCGGAGAGATGATCGATAAGCTGACTCTGACCTTCAACCGTACCAGACAGGCTGTCATTACTCGAGAACTCATTGAAATTATTTCTGGTGCGTCTGCACTGTAAGTTGTCGAAGCACTCGTAAATTCGAAGGATTCTATATTTTGTCTTTAAAATTTTTATTTATTATAATAGCGTAAAATTCCATTTTTTCCAGTTTGTGTTTTTGTGTTTTTTTCTTAATATTGCAGCAATAATGATGTAAAAAAGAAAGTAAGCCCAAATTCTCTTGATGCCGCATATTTGCTGTAGTATTCCCTTACTTTTTTCTGTGGAACAGGGTGATTAAGTTTTTATTAGATTATTTTGTTACTCTTAAATACGTTAAAATGAATACAATTTATGATTTAGTGCTTTTAAAAATTTTAAAGATGAAACACATAGATCTCGTAGAGTCGATAAAACAATTTTAGACTTAGAAATAACTGGATAATAAAATAGTTCGAAAATTGTAAGTTACAAATCTAGATATTTAATGGACATACTAAGGTTTTATTTTTTGCACGGTGAATTTGAATATAAAAAGAAAGTAAGCCCAAACCAATCAATATTTCAAACATTTTATATTCATTTTTACTGTGTAATCAGTTTTTTTAATGTAAACGTGGTGGAATTAAATGGATCTTTGTATTATATAAAGTGCGTTTTATTAGAAATTTTCCATTGGATAAAACCAAAATAAAGTAAAGGTCATTTTAAGTAAATATATGCAGTCGTTTTATTGAACCAAATAACACAAAGGCCGAGTCTCCTAGGTAAATAACTTAAAATTAATATATCCTTAACGAAATATTACCATTTCTTTATTAAAAAATATTTATTTACATATCTACAAAATTGAAAAATACATCTTGCCCCATTTGGAGACTTAGTAATCAAAATATTGCCTCAATACTGATAACAAATGTCTTTTGAAACCCAGAGCCAACTTTTCAAATAAATAAACCATCATTCTAGCTCATTCATCTATCTCATCGATTTCTTCACCTGTACTACTACCACTATCATCACTTTCATCATTCAATTCGAATAGATGTCTCCGCTTGACTTTAAACTGCTCCTGTTTAACTTTTTCTTCTTGCTCCTTTAAGAGATCGAGGGATTCGGATAAAGGAATTAATTTAGTTGGTTTGTTGCATTTGCTCCAATCTTCCATGGCTCGGAATACTTTGCGATCGGTGTGGATATCTTTGGTGCTATTTAAAGTATACCAAGGCTTGTACCTTTCTTTCGCCGGACTCGCTTCGATCCCGCAAATTTTTTGAGTATGTTTATCCGAATCGCTAATGTTTAAATTCTGCAGACTCATTTCGACGGCTGCTAAATCCTCCTTCGCTCTAATTTCTTCCAGTACTTTGTTGTAGAAGGTTTTGATAGCGGCTCCCTTGTCCGGTAACTTTGATAGCAGAGATTTATTTTTTAATAAAGCTTCCTCGCGAGCCGATACTTCTTTTAATTGAATTAGGGTCATTTTTCGTAGATTTTCGGATTTTCTGCTGGTATCTTTTGCAGTTTTTAATTCTGCTTCTATAGACATTGGTAAAGAATTAAAACAATTATTTGCTTGTGTTTGAAATGTTTAATAAAACTAACCTACAAATACAAAACTACTTCTTTTTTTGTTTAAAAATGGCCTTAAATGCAGGTTTTATTCGACGAATGATTTTGATTGACGTAAACATTCTTCTTTTTCTTTATGTTTTTAGCTAGGTTATGAATTTTTGTGTACGATTAAGTTGACGTACACACTAATCTCTAATCTTATCACTGTTGAATATATGTGTTATATATTTAGCACTATCATAAATTTTTTATATTGTAGATAACAAATAACAATGATTAGTTTACTATATAAGTCGAGTTACGTTTTCGTACTGTTTTATTATGCAGTCATTCCGTTGGGTTATTTAACGAAGTAAGTAGTTTCAAGGTAAGTTTATTCGACGAATGTAAACGTTCGATAAACAAAGCGTGAATATTCGTGTTGCTACTTAGACGTTATTGTTTATTGTTTGAAATAAATATTTAAATGAAAACACAAATGAATATTGTGGTAACCATTTTTCTGTTTCAGGTGGTGGGTCACTGTTGAAAAAATGAAGGGTAACAGCACAATTTTGGTGACAGGGGGTTCAGGCTACGTAGGTTCTCATACAATAGTCGAACTACTAAAAAATAACTACACAGTGATAGTGTTAGATAATTTAGTTAACAGCTACTCAGACGGAGGTTGCAAGCCGGAAGCTTTGAAAAGGGTGGAAGAAATAACGGGGGAAACTGTTACGTTTTATGATGTAGATATCACTGACAGAGCTGCTTTGGATAAGGTTTTCAAAAATGTATGTTTAAATAACCACACTAATTTATTTATTTAGTTGCTAATAGTTTAAAAAATTTATTACTTTAAAACAATAGTTTCAAAATGGATTTATTTAAAACGTAAAAGTTACTATAAAATCGCTAATTTTAATATTGTATTCATTTTCAGAATTAATTGGATAAATCTGCTTTTAATTTGAAATTTATATTTTCTTCAATTATTTTAGCACAAAATTGATGCTGTTATGCATTTCGCTGCCCTTAAGGCTGTCGGAGAGTCGGTTAGAATCCCCCTAAAATACTATCAGAATAACGTAGGAGGCTCTGCTATTCTCCTCGAAGTAAGCACATTCAAATTTAACATAGCATTCGATCCATTCTCACCGCATATTCTTCTAGGTAATGGCTTGTAATGGAGTAAAGAACATGGTATTTTCCTCATCCGCTACTGTGTACGGTGACCCACAATTCTTACCTATAACCGAAAGCCATCCCACAGGACAAGGTTGTACTAACCCCTACGGAAAATCTAAATATTTTGTGGAAGAAATCATGAAAGACGTGTGTACCGCTGATCCTGTAAGTACCGTCTTATTTAAATTTTGTTATCTGAAATCATTTTTACATGTTATATTCTAGTATAAAGTTCGAGTGTTGGGTAAACATATTCGATTCAATTCAAAATGTGTCTCGATAAATATATTTTTGTGTACTCTACACTTCTCTCGATTAATATCTTAATTTAACAATCATTGAAATATTCGTAATTATTTAAAGATTATATTATAACTTTGATACATCTCTATAAACGTGAATTAATTACAAAGATTACATAAAATTGCAAGTGTTTGATGATTTATATGATATTCTTCGATTCGAGAGAAATTGTGTTAAATTGATTATAAAATCTACATTATCATCAATCAATAAATCATTTCTTTTGATGGAGACAATGCATTTTTTAGGATTGGAAAGTAATTTTATTGAGATATTTTAATCCAGTTGGTGCTCACGAATCCGGCCTTATCGGAGAGGATCCTTCAGGAATACCCAACAATTTGATGCCATATATCGCTCAGGTTATTAAATTTATTTCTACATTTGTTATTATATTAAAGCTTTCTGAGAGCTTACTAATATTAACGTTAAAACAATTGCTTAGGTAAATAAATGTATAATACGCCGAGGGATTAGTTTATCAGGTACTAGTCCAAAATAACATCAAATCTATTAAATAAAATAAATACGAGTCGTGAGCTCGTTTATGTTAGAATAGTCCTTGAAAATGATTATTATTTGTTATTTGCAACGAATATTGTGCAATATTTTTAACGTGGCATTCGATTTGCTTTTAGGTAGCCGTAGGTCGACGCGACAAACTGCAAGTTTTCGGCTCCGATTACCCTACTCCTGATGGCACGGGCGTCAGAGACTATATTCACATCACCGACCTCGCCATAGGCCATCTCAAAGCGTTAGAACGCATGTTCTCGCCGAATTTCAAGTCTTGGAAAGCCTACAATCTCGGCACCGGTAAATAATTGGTACTGGTAATAAGATGTTGCTACGAATGCTATATTGTAGGTCACGGTTACTCCGTTTTGGATATGGTAAAGGCTTTCTCGGAGGTGGCCGATAGACCTATCAATTACGAAATGGTAGGTAGGAGAGAGGGTGATATAGCTTCTTGCTATGCCGATGCCTCTTTAGCCAAGCAAGAGTTGAATTGGGTGGCCACTAGAGATATCAAAGATATGTGTAGGGACACTTGGAATTGGCAAAAGAAGAACCCCAAAGGTTTCAAGAGTTCTTGAAAAGTACAAAGTTAGTAATTTTATAACCAAGTATACAGGGTGTTACAATAAGGGACTATTTTCGTCTCAGAAGTCCATAGTTAAGCTAAGTCCCAACCATTTTGCAACACCCTGTTTATTTTGCCTTTGCACACAAATTTTTCTAGTTTTTTATGAGACCTTTCTTTTTTCAGGTTCCAGCAATAAGAAACTTTATTTGAACTCAAATTTTAAGTCAAAGACAAGTTAATAGGTAGAACCTTGCTTCATATTTTATAATTTAAAAAAATCAATGTTCCTTTTTACTGTCAAAACCTGTGCATATATTACTTATACATATTTATTTCTACCTTTATATTTTATGTATATATTTGAAATTTTTAATTTATTTTTAGCAAATTGTTTATATACTCGGAGTTGCTTCGCCTTATTTTCGTTTTTGAAACGATTCAAAACGGCTCTGATGCGTTTCAAAATCGTAGAGGTGACTTCGACTGTTCAATTTATACCTAATTAAACGAAACGTTTTTAGTAAATGAATACAAAATATATTTTTGTATCAAAAAAACCTTTATTATTTTCCTATACATTAATTAAATAGAAAAACAAGAACTATACAACTTAGGTTATAATTATCGTAAGATAGTTTTATAAATAGTTTTCAGTCTATTTTGAACTCGCAAAGAGTTAGCTCTAAATCAAAATAACAATATCAAAACAAGCATCCAGTGAATCACATTATCTTGTGATTTGGATGAAATTATAGCAATTAAAGCACCAGATGCTTAAGTTTTTGAAGTAATAAGAGCACTAAGTTAGTTTCCTTTCGCCTTCCATCGACCCGTGCAATGGTTTGAATTAATACGCAAATAAATTAACATGATTTACAACATCCTTTCCCCTTGAGTATCGAGCGTAAATTTTAAATTGTTTCTAAATTGTATGACTTTCTTCAGATCTTCGACTAGTGGTTTGGGCAGTTCCAATTTGCTGGCATCCTCTGAGGAGTTGAGCATATTCCTTATGGATAAGAGAGCTGTGTATCTGAGGCTATAAATGGGCAGTGTGATGTAGGCTCTAATTCTCGCTTCGTAATTTTCTGGTATTGTTCGATTGGGATATTTTTGCCTAAAAAATTCTTTGCTAGTTTTTGGATGGTACACGAATTCCTTATCAATGTGAAGTCTATTTTTGGTCTCGTAATCGAAGGCAACCCAAGGGTGCGTGTTGAATGTATTAACGTCTACGAAATAGTCCTTTTTCAAAATTTTGTATCTTATGTACATTCCGGTGTAATTCAGCCAAACGATTTCAATCACTCTATCAGTCTTGTTGATGAATCTCACATATGCGTTGTTTCCCCTGGCTCCTGAACGATTTTGAACATCGTAGAGCATTTCCACTTCCGGCATTTTTAAGTTGCGCAAAAGGCAGGGCATACAACTTTGTAGATGCGGTAGATCTATCTTGTTTGTTGTGGATTGTCGATTAAAAGGAGTGGTAGTTTTCAACAAACAGAAATGGCTGTTTGCGCAGCAATTATTGGAAAAGACGTAAGTTTTTGCAGTACTTCTATCAATAAATTACTCCTACAAATAAGTATTTTTGAGTGAACATTTGATATTTTCAATAAAACCGAACATACGTAAACAATAACACAGAACTTTGTTGACGTTCCGTTTTGAAGTTTGACAGAACTGACTTATATACATCAAATGTTCAAATCGCTACCGCTTTTGCACGCATTGTAAAATTTATAGAACTACCATTATGATAAAGTAATAAGTAATTAACCTGTTTTTAAATTTTTAGAATTCATCGAAATTTTTCGTTACTTTGAATCCTGATGAAGAATTACACTTTCAGTATAAGGTTCTTTCCTCCCTAGATATTATTGAAGATAAATTAGCTACTGGGACTAAAGGAGGAGCGGACACTAAGGAATTATATCTTGGAATGCTGCTTTCTTTAGAAACATACAAAATGTAACATGTTCGCTATTAAGACGACTTTTTTTATTCATTATAATTTCTTTTAGCTACGGATATGTTACAAATACGAAAATTAAATTCGTAATAGTAGTAGATTCTACTAACGTGGTGTTGAGAGATAATGAAATAAGATCGGTAATTTTTCCAGCTTTCATTTAGTCATTAAAAACCAAAAAAAATAATTTTTTATATTTTTCCAGATGTTCAGAAAAATACATTCCGAATTTGCAGACATAGTGAGCAATCCATTTTACATCCCCGGAGAACCAATTATCTCCAAGTAAGTTATTTTAATACATAAAATTTAGTTAACAAGATCCGATAATATGTTTTGTTTTAGAAATTTTACAACAAGCATGAAAAATATAATGACCGGCACTGTTTAAATATAGTTATGCGTTAATTGCTCTTTAATTAATAAAATAAAAAAATCGGTGATATTTGCGTTTTGTACTTTTTACATCTTCTTTTATACGATTGCCTCGTTCGTGCAGTTATTTTGGTTAAAATTCTGCAGTGTTGAAGCACAAGTGTTAGCTAAATCAACGAGTGCTTCTTGACGTATGCAAATGTCAATTTTCGTTCATGGCTATCTGTCAAAAAATGATTTATTTTAATAGACCTATTCAGTTTAACCTGTGCTGCGCGCGCATATTGTGGACAATTAGCTGGACATCTAAACGAACAAACGAACGCACCTCAGGTAAAATACGGTTCTGACAACCAGACAACGACAACTTAAGACATACTTCAGACGTCATTTGTCATTATCCAATAATCCGTCGGATTTAATTTGTAATGGACGCGATGACTCGATACAAATTTGTTTTTACTGCCCAGAAAGGGGATTAGGCTTAATATTTACATACAAGTCAAGTCTAAGAAAGAGTAAGAGGGTTAGTACAAAGTTTCCGAAAATGCTTTTTGATCGGTTTGCTATAATATATATATTTCAAAGAAATAATCCCATTGACCTATATAAAAAATTATAACCCATAGACAAAAAAAAATCCTTCTTTCTCTATGTTATAACCTTTATAAATAAATATACTAAATAATACAAAGAAATACTGTTAAAAAATAATACACACTGAATATAAACAAACATCAAACGAAAACAAGAAACAAAATAGGGTTAGGATTGAAGATGGTCTCTTCTTTTTTATATTTAAAACAGTTTTCATCTAAGAATCATTCAATGTGTCTGTCAATCAGCAATGAAATAGGCCAAATATCTCATCTCTCTTGCACTTATGTTTGCGCAGATTTTAAATGGTTCCACAGATTGCGCGTGAAACATATTTGCTTCTTTTATTCTCTTATGTTGATCAAATAACTCCATCACTCTCTTTCGTAAACTGAATAGGTCTATAGTGTTTAGTGTGGCGCATACAAGTGTGTGTTACGTATATTTTCTGTTTTTGCGAACCATTTACTTACCTTAGAGCTTCGTTCTAAAGATAATGAAATACTCGAAGTAACTGTTACGAAAACGGTTCGCGTTATGGTCGAAAGGGAAGCGGAGTCATTTTAAATCGACAGTGATTCTAGCATGCGATGGCAGAAGAGTGCACGGTCGTGCGATTTTCGAGAGATTCGTCTCTCGCTAAAATTGAAAATTTGAAGCAAGGTGACAGTCCCGACAAGTTTTCGGAATGCGCCCGTTTCGGAGCGTTTTACGTTATATGCATTGCCTTATCGATTATAACATATGTCCTAGATTTGGCTTTAGCCTGCATATTATTGTATTTTTATTCCATAAATGGTTATGGGGTGTATTTCGCCCTTACGCTTACGTTTCTAATTCTGCCTGCTCTGGTCATGACTACTGTCAGCTTGAGGTGGTAAGTAATTTTTTTCTATTTATTTCTTCATTTATCAACCTATCGTCTCATTCATTTGTTTTGCTTTGAGACAGAATAATATATAATATCTAGACACCGCATTTAGATACTGCATGGTATCTAGATCTACATCTTTTACAATCATTCCAATAACTTATTATTTTACCATCTAATTTTTCAGTATTCTTCATTTTCCTGACTCCCTCAACAGTCCCTCAAATAATAATTTCATTCGTTAGGTTTTTTTAAATGTAAAATTCACACATAAACTACTAGATTTATTAAAAAAAATTAGTAGTATTATCGAGAGGTAATTGAAGAAAAAATAAATAAATCGTTGAAATAGTTTTCCGTCTACATTTCTAATCGAATAAATCGTAACACGACTTTTATACGCTTTAAATTAAAGCTAGTCGATTGAATTTTTTTATACCAATTGTGAATACAACCGCTTTTTAAAAACAAACAAAAATCATTCAACCGTATCTAAATATAGTGCACGTAACCTTGATGAAAATACTCCGTAGATTCGCAACAGAGCTGAATTATTTTTAAAAATTCGGTATGTTTCCTCCGCAGGTACATAGTAGATCACGACGATCCGTCTTTAGACAAAATCCCAGTGTCCCAATGGATAGTACGGATAATCTTCCTCCTGATGCAACTGGCCCCCCTTTTGAGGTACACGGACATCCTGATATACGGAATAAGGAGCAAGATAGCCTCGTCGACGGGCAACGAAGCCAAGCAGTCCATCCTGTACAGGCGGATGCTCGACGAGGACACCAACAGCGCCCTGCTGAGGCTGTTCCACTGCTTCCTGCACGCCGCCCCGCAGGCCATCCTCCAGCTCGTCATATTGCTCACCCACGTTGCTCATCCCGAATCGTCAGCGCTCAGTATAAGTACGTTTATTTTCGCCTGATCGAACGCCTATTAATTGTTCTGTTATTAATAAACTGGCGGAATTTTCGAATTGTTCGAACGCTACGAATCCCAGACATTCAACGCTCGTTTCGCTATTGTTTTTATTGTTTTCAGACGTGCTCGTCCTTCAAGCCTGGGCTGTCTTGGTGGCGCTGACGTCGATCGCGTGGTCCTTGACTTCGTATCACAGATCCGTGCGATTCGCCAGGGATGACAAGGAGAAAATGAAATGGCCGGGGATTTTGATTGCTTTCTGTTGGCAATTAATGAGTGCACGTGAGTATCTCGTTTTATCCGAAAATAAAATTGTGTACTCGTTAAAGAGAACGCTGGAATTTGGTGAAATAAATGATACATAGAAACAAATGATACAAAGGAACCATGATACATAAAAGAATTTTAAGTACTTGATAAACAGCGAGCAAGTATTTGTTATTTTTATCTATTCCATTAGTCTCGTATAAAGGAAAAAGAAAGAGTGATATTGTGGGATTACCACTTTTCCATTCTAACCACGGTTATTTTTATTACGTATATAAAGTCAGCACCCCCACCATCACCAAATCAAAAATTAATATGCAGGAGATTTAGTGCTATTTATGTGCTAATTTGTTGCTCTATTTTTAATTTTGTTGCTCCAATGATTTAGCAAAAAATAACATAAGAAGTGGGTGGTGCTAGCTTGACGTCAAGCTAGCAACCCCCATGTCTTCGGATAATCAAAATCAAAAAACAAACATACCATAATTTGTTGCTAATTTGTTGCTTTAAGAAATCCAAAACACTTTTTTGGTATTTTTCTTTATTTAATAAAAAACTAAGAAAAACAAACTACGCGAACGACTGAATTACGGTTCGAGAAGATTTCTTAATTTTTTATAAGGGTGAAACATTTTGTTACTAGGATATTATTTATATCAAACTATTCGTAATTTAATGCCCTTTTCAATGATATATAGAATGATTTTGTTGCTCTTTGCTAAGTATGAAAAAACTATGAAAAACAAACTGCGCGAACGACTGAATTACGGTTCCAGAAGATTTCTTAATTTTTTATAAGGGTAAAACATTTTGTTACTAGGATATTATTTATATCAAACTATTCGTAATTTAATGCCCTTTTCAATGATATATAGAATGATTTTGTTGCTCTTTGCTAAGTATGAAAAAACTATGAAAAACAAACTGCGCGAACGACTGAATTACGGTTCCAGAAGATTTCCTAATTTTTTATAAGGGTAAAACATTTTGTTACTAGGATATTATTTATATCAAACTATTCGTAATTTAATGCCCTTTTCAATGATATATAGAATGATTTTGTTGCTCTTTGCTAAGTATGAAAAAACTATGAAAAACAAACTGCGCGAACGACTGAATTACGGTTCCAGAAGATTTCTTAATTTTTTATAAGGGTAAAACATTTTGTTACTAGGATATTATTTATATCAAACTATTCGTAATTTAATGCCCTTTTCAGTGATATATAGAATGATTTTGTTGCTCTTTGCTAAGTATGAAAAAACTATGAAAAACAAACTGCGCGAACGACTGAATTACGGTTCCAGAAGATTTCTTAATTTTTTATAAGGGTAAAACATTTTGTTACTAGGATATTATTTATATCAAACTATTCGTAATTTAATGCCCTTTTCAATGATATATAGAATGATTTTGTTGCTCTTTGCTAAGTATGAAAAAACTATGAAAAACAAACTGCGCGAACGACTGAATTACGGTTCCAGAAGATTTCTTAATTTTTTATAAGGGTAAAACATTTTGTTACTAGGATATTATTTATATCAAACTATTCGTAATTTAATGCCCTTTTCAATGATATATAGAATGATTTTGTTGCTCTTTGCTAAGTATGAAAAAACTATGAAAAACAAACTGCGCGAACGACTGAATTACGGTTCCAGAAGATTTCTTAATTTTTTATAAGGGTAAAACATTTTGTTACTAGGATATTATTTATATCAAACTATTCGTAATTTAATGCCCTTTTCAATGATATATAGAATGATTTTGTTGCTCTTTGCTAAGTATGAAAAAACTATGAAAAACAAACTGCGCGAACGACTGAATTACGGTTCCAGAAGATTTCTTAATTTTTTATAAGGGTAAAACATTTTGTTACTAGGATATTATTTATATCAAACTATTCGTAATTTAATGCCCTTTTCAATGATATATAGAATGATTTTGTTGCTCTTTGCTAAGTATGAAAAAACTATGAAAAACAAACTGCGCGAACGACTGAATTACGGTTCCAGAAGATTTCTTAATTTTTTATAAGGGTAAAACATTTTGTTACTAGGATATTATTTATATCAAACTATTCGTAATTTAATGCCCTTTTCAATGATATATAGAATGATTTTGTTGCTCTTTGCTAAGTATGAAAAAACTATGAAAAACAAACTGCGCGAACGACTGAATTACGGTTCCAGAAGATTTCTTAATTTTTTATAAGGGTAAAACATTTTGTTACTAGGATATTATTTATATCAAACTATTCGTAATTTAATGCCCTTTTCAGTGATATATAGAATGATTTTGTTGCTCTTTGCTAAGTATGAAAAAACTATGAAAAACAAACTGCGCGAACGACTGAATTACGGTTCCAGAAGATTTCTTAATTTTTTATAAGGGTAAAATGTTTTTGTTACTAGGATATTATTTATATCAAACTATTCGTAATTTAATGCCCTTTTCAATGATATATAGAATGATTTTGTTGCTCTTTGCTAAGTATGAAAAAACTATGAAAAACAAATTGCGCGAACGACTGAATTACGGTTCGAGAAGATTTCTTAATTTTTTATAAGGGTAAAACATTTTGTTACTAAGATATTATTTATATCAAACTATTCGTAATTTAATGCCCTTTTTAATGATATATAGAACGATTTTGTTGCTCTTTGCTAAGTATGAAAAAACTATGAAAAACAAACTGCCGGATCCGTTTAAGAAACATTGAAGTTGACAAAAAAAACGTAGTAAAAAGACGAAACGTCGTGCGCCGTGTGAAGATCATATCCGTTTTTGACGTATCGTCTTAATAACGAATCGTTAAAAACGGATCGCCATGTGAACGGGGTGTAGAGTTTGTTTATAGATTCATGCGTTATTAATTGCATTTTGTTCAGTGCATAGATAATTTTGTTTGCATTTATAGCTGAAATTATGGTTACGGTTACTGCTCTGGAATTGACACGTGCCAATTTCTGGCGGTTTTTTCAATACCTACTGTTGGCGGCATTTCTTTTGTCGGCACTCGGCAGTGTGGACAGTATCGGCGCACTTCTTTATAGGTTTTTAGATAAGAGTACCGCCGCGGGCCGCCGCCTGTAGCTAATAAATTTGGAAATTAGGCACTCATTGGCAGAAAAGTCGCCTTTGATGAGATTGTTAGCCGCTCTTGTTCTTATTGGTAAAACAACATATAATTTTGCTTTTTTGATTGGCTTAACCCATTCTCTCCCTTACTTTTCTAATAAACTATATAAATCCTGGTTCCAACATTTCTAAGCTTTATTTTCTATTTTGTATTCGTTTGAGATCATTGTTGTTCATCAGTGTTGAAGTGTAAAATAAAAATTGTAAATTTTTTTAGGTAAGTTCATTTTATTTATTGGAGCCATGCTCATCATAATTGAAAATTTGGTTGAGGGTAAAACTCAAGGGGCCACTAACCGTCCACCGATAATCCGAAATTTTAACGACCTTTTAATGACGGTCGCTCAGCGTGCGGTACCTACTCGATCTTACTATTGCAGTGCGGTGACAATAAAAATTGCAAACAGTGAAAATATTCTAATTAATTAGTTTAATTGGTTTTTACTTTATTTTTGAAACAGAACTTGAATATTTTCTGGTTTTATAGACAAATAATCGGGAACAATACTTATTTATTATTATCTATGTTTGGAAAAAAGTAATGAATTTTAAGGGTGTTAGTTATTCGGATAAATGTAATGGTGAGTTAATAGGAATTGTCGTAGACCAATTCTATTAATATGATTTCGAAAAGCTCCAAGACGTTTTAAGAAATCCATATCTATAGATATTAAAAAATACCCACGCCGAACACTTCTTCACTCCCTAATAGTGAAGCAGTATAATGAGCTCCGGTTATTTAGGGGTTTTCCCGGGAGCAAACGAAAATAGTGCAAGAATAAATTGTGAGTAATATACAGTGCGTGTATAAAGCCCCCCCACCTCAATTATTTTTTGAACCGTTGGAGATATCGGACTAAAATTTTTGATGTGTATTAAATAGTATGTTTACAAGTTTTTTACGCCATTTTGAGGACGTCACCGTTTCAGGTGGCGTCGCGACGCTAAGCGACGCCATTTTTTTTTAATTAAAAAAATGTTATTGAAAAATAAAAATATTTTACGGTCATATTCAGCGTTATAATACCTTTCGAGCCCCCTTTCGACCCCCTATGTCAGTGGCCCCTTGAGTTTTACCCTCAACCGAAAATTTAATATTCAACTAATTTTATGGTACATATATCTATTTCAGTAAATGGTATACCTACTTATTGGAAGTTAAAATTGGATTCTTGTATTTACTTTGTGAAACGAAGTTGCTTCAGTTAATTTTTGATTAACTACATCTAACTAAAAATGATTGCGCGTGGACGACCATCTCGTATTAATAAAGATGATTTAATAAATGCAGTAATAAAATATAAAGACAAAATTCTTTATGACAATGGTGCAAAAGTTGTTTCGAAGCATGATTTAGTTTGGGTACAAATTGCTAACGATTTGCAAAACGCTATTACACCATTCTCTTTGTACACTTTTGTTTGTTGCAATCGTTATCAATTAAGAGAAAAAGTAGGTGGAAAATTACCTCTGTCCCTTAGTAACAATAATACGAACCTGAGAGATTCAAATTCATTGAATAACGAATATTCCGTCCACGAGTCCACATTAAATGATTCTGAAAGTAAGGATGAAGAGGAAGGTGTAATGTTTTTTACAATTACCATGTCAAAAGTTGATTTCACGTCTATGATTATTCAGAAGACATACAGAAGAAAAGAAAAAGGCAGACCACTTTCTACGCGCAAGTATACCATATTGAAACCTGGTGTATGGGAACAAGTATTCAGCGAAAAAATTTGGGATTTTATGAAAATACCTTGCGGATTTAATTTTAAATATCACAAATTGGTAGGCAATGGGCAATCTGGATATGCTTATGGAGAGTGTAAATGTGGTTCTTCTCTAAAATGTGACATAAATAATTATGAAGA